TTTCTGGATCTGGTTTATAATTAACAAACCTGTCTGAACTCTTATAGGGTTTATATATTATGTGTATATATATATATATATATATATATATATATATATATATATATATATATATATATACACACATATTACTATATATAAATTACTAACTTCAGTAATTGCCTTTTCATTTCCTGATTTTTTTTATCCCTCTTGTTATTGTTTTTAAACTTCTGAACTCAGTTTCAATTTTTTAATTTCTTTATAAATAGTAATTTTTTTTATTATTTAAAGTGCATAATTTATTTCAAAATTTACACGCTGTATAAATCCTTACAATTGCAAAGATGAAGCAGTTTTTTAAACTCATTGAAATGTTTGTTTATGCTGATGTTGTCCAAAACTCGTTTCTACTGAAAATGAGTCAATAATTTAAAGTGGACATAAATTTGTTCTTAATCTTTCAGTTGTTTTAGAAACATCATCTTCTCGTTGTAAAATATTTCAATAGATTATTTTCAGAAATTCATTAATTAATTATAACACAGAACTTACTAATTCCTAATTAAAAGACATTTTAATTATTACTAAACTTTGTCCATGTTAATTAGTGTTTTAGTAAAAATTATTATAAACATTCTTTGATAGTTGTAAATTTATATTATTTTAATTTTTAATAATCATTTCCCATTATGTTTTTAATTTAACTTACCTATATATGGAATGTATATTAGAGGAAAGTATTGCGATCGTGAAAATTTTTCGAATTCCGAGTTTTCAATGGAAATACATGTTTTGAGGTTCCTTGAGCCCAAACAATCAAGTCCCACAAAATGGTCTGTGTTAGCAGTCTAGCTCAAAAACAAAAGTCCTACGAAACTGATATTACGTATTTAAGATAGGTATATGCCTTAGATGTGACAGCAACTTTTTCATTTAAATCAGCTAACCGGAATTGCCACTTTATATCAATGCTAAAACACATTTTTACAATTTTCTCAAAAAAATGCTGCAACGATTTTAGTTAAACTCGGTGTATCATTGTATAATTAAGTGGTCCTAGTGGACTAACTCCAATTTCAAAATTGTTTATTATTATTTTAATTATAATTAATAAGGTGTAAACCAATGTTTTAACTATTTTTACATTCATTTGCGTTTTTGAACTTATTTTTTGAATTGTGTAATATTTAGCCATATTATTGCATATTTGTTTTTTTGGCATATTTTATGTTTTATTACTGCTAATTTTAGTATTTTATTGTATATTATGTGGGATATTTTTAGGGTTTTTACTGCATAAAAATCTGGAATCTGATCATAACTAATAGATGGTAGTTCCTGGGACACTTAACCAACCATGAAGTACATTCCTAATTTGCCACTTATTATTTTGGTTTACGATGAGACTAAAGGAAAGCAGACAAGAAAAAAATATAGAATCTAGAAGTTAATTTTTCAAGGAGGATGTCAGGCATCGGTACACTCTTAGCTACTGATTCATTTACCCTCAATTCCCCAATTATTTTTTAATTCACCCTCTGTGTAAAGGCTTGACTGATCTACTTACTTCTAGTAACTACATCACGAATCATGTATGTCACCATCTATTTATGAGTGAGCGAATCTGGTAATTTTGCAGACCTTGGGACTGGGCTAAGGAGGGTCTTTTGGAGGGAGAAGGAATAGGATGAATAAATATGACAATATTTAGAATTCCACTAATCCTGAATGCCAACTCCTTAAAAACAAAAGAAAATAATATAAACAATAACAAAATGACTTCCTAAACATAACCATGAATTTCTTAAGGAAAGTAATAATATTCTGATATTGAAATTAAGTATTCAGCATTCATCTATCTATTCAATACCTTATGCTAGCATGGAGAAGAAACTAATTAGAAAAACGTTCTATAGAAACGGATTTACAAAAAATATAGCAATGAGCTACCCTCGGAAAACCCACCATCAAGCAATAAATTCTACGGATGGTGAACTTTGCTACATTGCACGGACTGGTTGTTGGAACAACTCTTTTTCCTCGAAAGAATATCCACAAAGCAACATGGATCTCTCCAAATGGGCAAACAGCATCACAGATAGACCATTTACTCATTAGTGCCCGTCACAAGTCCAACATGATAAATGCAAGATCTTATAGAGGTGCAAATATGGACACGGATCACTATTTGAGCATTGCCGAGGTCAGATCACGAATTTCGCTGATTAAAAACCACTACCAACGACCAAAGAAGAAGATTGATGTGGTTAAACTTAAGGACTCAGACCACCAATATTCGTATCAACAAGCTGTGGAGACGAAACTTAACGAAGAAGTAATTAATGACAGCTCTATGGTCGATGAACAGTGGAAGAGATGCAGCAATGCAATGAAACAGGCAGCAGAAGAAGCTCTTGGCTACGAGACTAAATCTAGAAGGCCCCCATGGTTTGATGCTGAGTGCCTTCAAGCAGTAAAAGTGAAAAATGAAGCCTACAGAAAGAAGGTTCAGCGTCCCACAAGGCTCTCCCAAGAAACATATAGAAGAAAAAGACGCGAAGAGAAGAGATTATTCCGCGGAAAGAGAAGAACTTGGGAAAATAAGAACATGGAGGACACAGAGGCATTGCGAGGCCAAAATGAAAGTCGCCTGTTCTTTCAGAGAATAAACGAGGGTAGGGCAGCTTTTAGGCCCAGAGTGACGGCATGCAAAGACACAAATGGAACTCTTTTAAGCCACAAAGATGACGTACTAAGGAGATGGGTACAACATTTCAAAGGCGCATTAAACAGAGGAACGGTGCCTGGAGAAGTAGGTGTAATGAAGGAAGACTCCCTGAATTCTATTGAACCCCCGGATGAGGAGGAAATGGAAAACGCCCTAAGGAAATTGAAAAATGGAAAGGCGCCAGGCCCGGACGGAATCCAGTCAGAGCTGTTGAAATGTGGAGGTGAAGAACTCAAGAAAGCTCTGCATGATTTAATGCTGACCATCTCGGAGAAGGAAGCTATGCCTACGGAATGGGCAACAGCCATTATCTGCCCAATACATAAGAAAGGAGATCAAACAGAATGCGCTAACTATCGAGGAATCTCACTCCTTTCGTGTGCTTATAAGCTGCTCTCTAACATTCTTTTTGAGAGGATCCTCCCGTATTCTGAAAAGGAACTGGGGAAATATCAGGCTGGATTTCGAAGAGGACGCTCAACGACTGATCAACTGTTCTCTCTGAGGATGATCCTAGAAAAGACTATGGAGCGTAAGGTAGTCACCCACCATTTATTCCTGGACTTTAAAGCAGCATACGACAGCGTTGATAGAACGCAACTATACTGTGCCTTGGAGGAGCTAAGCATCCCTCAGAAGCTCGTACGCCTAATCAAGATGACCATGGACAGCTCGAGATGCAGAATACGCGTCGGTTCTGACGACTCCGAAGAGTTTAAAGTGAGCAGTGGGGTTAGGCAAGGGGATGCCCTCGCCTGTCTATTGTTCAATTTGGCAGAGGAGAAAGCTGTAAGAGACTCCGGTATTCAGACCAAAGATATAATCTTCAATCGCCTGACACAGCTTCTTGGTTTTGCTGATGATATTGACATAGTAGGTAGGTCTGAACGGGCTCTCAGAGAAGCGTTTATAAGCCTTGAAGCAGCTGCAAGACCACTTGGTCTAGAAGTCAACGAGAGGAAAACTAAGTATATGAGAGTTGGCGGTGAGGTTGATCTGAACTCTCCATTTGAGGTAGGTTCTTTTAAGTTTGAGAGAGTGAAAAGTTTTATATACCTTGGGTCTGAAATCAATAGCAAGAATGACATGGCTCAAGAAATACAAAGAAGGATCACGGCTGCCAATAGATGTGTCTTTGGACTTGGCCGACACTTAAGAAGTAGGTACCTCTCAAAGAAGACCAAGCTGATCATATACAAGACCCTTGTTCGGCCTGTTTTGACATATGGCTCAGAGGCTTGGACGATGACCAAAAGGGATGAGATGAAGCTGAGTGTCTTTGAGCGAGGAGTCCTCAGAAGGATTTATGGTCCAGTAAAGGAGGGTGATGTCTGGAGGAAAAGAAAAAATAGGGAGCTCAGTTCTCTCTATGCAGACATCGACGTAGTCACGTATATTAAACTGGCCAGACTAAGGTGGGCAGGGCATGTGGCCAGAATGAGCACCCTTGAAATACCAAAAAAAATAATGATGGAGGAGCTGCACCTCATAAGACGGGTAGGAAGACCGAGGACGAGATGGTTGGACAACGTGGCCTATGATGCGAGAACCCTGCTTGGTGTGCGGAACTGGAGAGCTGCAGCAGAAGATAGAGCCGACTGGCGGAGGCTCTTGGAGGAGGCCCAGTCTCGGTGACGGGATGTTGTGCCATACATGAATGAATGAATGAAGCAATAAATTCACTATGAGAGGCCAATTGCCTTCAAACCATTGAAAGTGGACGCCATTAATTGAGCATTGTAATTAATAAACTACTTTCCTAATTAAAATAAAGTTATCGATTACTGAATAATCTTATTAATCAACTATTCTTCAATAAAATAGTTTAAACATAACAGTCAAATTATTTCCAAATATCACTTTTTAAAAAAAGTAGTATAACAAATAGATGAGAAAAAACAAATACAGAATTTAAAAAACATATTATAAAAAGGTTTCTAAAAAATGTATTTGCAATCCTATATATTATAAAATGTACCTATACCTGTACCACTACATTCCATGAAGGATCTTGGGTTCAGTATTATTTAGGGAAAGTACTGTTTCTTGGTTAACGGTTGTGCAAGGAGATGATTTGACTGAGATCACGTACAACAGTCAGGTTTTCCCTCTTAACCAATTATTTAATTAAGGGTACCCATTTAATAGAGATTGGGTATACCACAGGAGGGTCTCCTGATCCCAGGCTCGCCCCACAGCTGATGAAACAGAATAAATAATTTGTTTAGCCATGAGCTGGGATTCGAACCCAGGTATTGTAAGATCAGTGCCTCATCAATGAACAACCCCACTTCCATAATAAATTATCTTTATTTTATTTTTTTTTAACAATTCAAAACATAAATTTAAAAAATACACTTAATTAAAAAAATTACTAAGAACTGGATCTCTGTTTTTTTATTTCTGGAGGTACATATTCCTGAGTAACGTCCTTCTTCTTCTTCTTTTTGCCTGTCCATTTTTTTGGATACCTAACTTTCTTGTTTTCAATAGCTATATCAATTTCATCTTCACGATCAAAAAAGTATATTTCCTGCTCTCTCTCAAGAAGTTCTTGTTTCTTTTGCTTAATAATTTCTAATTTATTAACTTTTTCAAGTTTTTCAATTTCTTCACGGAGTGAAGTCTCACGATTGTTTTCCCATTCATCATAGACCTGTGAATATGTTATATATTAAAATGACAATCAGTTCATCTAATAAGAATTGGTAATTAAAAGCAAACTTAGGTTATATTTTACTAAATAAGAGACTTACTTTCATTTGTTCTTGGGCAATAGCATCACCAACTGGAATTTCTTGTTTAATTGAGGCTTCTAAGAACTCCAATATATTTTTATCAACCAAGTTTTCATTTTTCAAAGCCTCTAAACAATTTTTAAATTGTTGAAATGACTCTTCTTTTGTTACATTCTCATCAGTTTCATTAGATATAATTTTGTTGACTAGATCAACTGTAGTATATGATACTGGTTGTTTATTTTTTATCGCAGCATTAACAATTTCTGTTGCTGTATTCCACTCTTTAAGCAAGCTGTTACCCAACAAAATTAAATCATTTTTCATATGGCTGTCAATATTATTGACAATCATAAGTAGAGTCTTACCTATCAAACTGTTAGGATCTTGTAAATCAAAATGATTGTCAAAGTATGGGTTTCTTATATACTTAACTCTCACTTTAATTTCCTCTCCATCGTCTTTTTCTAAACTTTCTTCTGCTTTATCTTCCCATTCTGAGGGATTAGATAAATACTTATAACAACTGTATACAGACATATACTTCAAAAGATCATTAGAGAATTCTTCTTGCAGCATCTGGAGGGTTGCTACTTTAGTCGCATTCTTGTAATCTCCTTTATCAAGAAAATAGTCTAATAATAAAATGTAACAAAAGCTGTCTGGAAAAATTCCATAATTTAATCGATCATTCAACACCCGCATTAATTCATTTGGCTCTCCATGAGTTAAGAAAGCTCGAATAAAAGCATGATGTGTTGAAGGAAATATATTGGTTGCCTCTGAGGACATTCTTAATCTATGTACAATATCCTCCATTTCATCAATGTGTGAACCATCATTAACAGCATTCACAAATATATCAACATCAACTGCACTGATTGCATTTGTTAGGTTGTGTTTATTATCTATTTCATAAAACATATTATCTAAATTTACTTTTTGGAGCAAAGCAGATTTAAGTCTATTATCCCATTTCCCTTCACATTTAAAAGAAGCAGACATAAAATCATGCTTCCAAACTCTACAAAGGGATCTTCCATACTTTGATAAGGCTCTACTATATCTAATACCATTCCACATTCTGAAATCTTCAATTAACAAATATAATTTTAAATATTACATTTACACAAAAACGTATACATTATAAACATTTAATACAGTGTTTTTGCATAACTTAAATTTTTAAAAAATCTTGTTTTAAAAACTTCCGATAACCAGTAAAATCACAAGATCACATATTCTGAACAAAGAGGTCATTGTGAGGTTTGAAACATACCGGTTAAAAGGTGGGATCTTTAAATAGTTAAACATAATGAACAAAAACACTCAATTCAACATTAATCTGACGATGTAATAAAGAAATATTGTGTACCAAGACCCTATTAAGCGATGAGAAGATAATTGAGGAACATTTTCCTGATATTAACTTCCGATCAAAATTGATAGATGGATGAGATCTGATATTTTCTCGAAGCTTCTCCTTTGATATCCTCTCAAATGGTTAGGTTCAGCAATAAAACTGTAAATTTAATGGTCTTCCTCAGATTTCCTTGACCACTGTAAATGTTGGTCGTTAGTAGAGTTTGGATAAATCATCAGCATATTGGAAGGATGTGCTTCCTGTTTTCGTCACCGGTTCTGTATCAACAGAGAGACTTTCTTCAATGTAAAATTTCTAATAAAGACGCGCTCTGTTGTGATTCTAAGGTTAAGTTATATCTGTTATGATTCGTATAAAGTCTAAACAAAACAACTAGCTCGTTTCTACTGCGGGTTATAGAATGGAATACGAGTACCAGATGGAATAGAAGTACCAGATATGGAAGAGCATAGAATGGAATAGAAGTACCAGATATGGAAGAGCATCATTTCATATGTAGAGATCTTAAGACTAAACAAGGTATCTTAGAGGATAGCAGAATAATCATGAGGTCTAAAAAGGAACCCAGACTTCAAAATAGTGTTTATTGTATGCGGCATCAGTATATCAGTCCCTCAAGTCCAAATGGAAAACTGAACTCCACACTCTCGCAGAAGCTGAAAACTCCAATTCTAGTTAAAAATAGAAGTAATTCAGCGATTAGCCCTCCAGTTAACTCTATGCACATTCTCCAGGAAGCAATTTAAGTAGTATAGTGGCAACATTGATGCATTATATTTCATAATCTTTTAGGTGTTAATATTAGAAAATGGTTGTTACTAATATCGGTGCTATTAATTGTCATTTCATTTATTACCATATCGAATAACTATTCTATGTTGGCGACTACGGGAGTGTTGTGTATAAGTGATTTAGTCATAATGACATCCACTGAAACTAATAAACCTCTACCTACCTTTCGATTATCATTCTGAGTCTTCGTCAGTCAGTAAACGTTTGAGTGAGTCAGAAAATTCGACAGTGCAAATCACGTATGCAGGGACCCAGTGTTGATTTTGCTTAAAATTCCCTAACCAGTATAGAACTGATGATGCTCTTCAACCACAAAGTCACGTCTTGCCGGCGATAAGCGTGATAAAAGATGGTATTTTACTCCGAGGTAACCGCATCATTCTTCCATTGTCTATACCTAGAAGGGTCTTCAGCTTGGTTCACTGAGGCCATCCTGGTATGGAACATACCAAATAGCTGCTTTGCTCTGGGTTTGGTTTCCTGGGATGAATTCCTTTGCTGATGGTAAGATGAAATCATTGTCTTGCTGTTAATTTTGCCAAGTAGAGGGACTCCTCTACCCACTAGGCCTTAGTCTGAACTTTCGATTGATTTTCGGTCCCTTTTCCTGGTGATAAATATAGAATAGAATAGAAAATAATTTTATTCTGGGACGAAGTCCCTTCAGAATAACAAAAAATTACAAAATTAAAATGTTGTATCTGGCCAAATAAAAACAAACATAAAAAGTAAAGGTAGAGCTAAATCAGTAAAGAAAATATTAGTTTTACATACTATATACAAAATGAAAAAAAATAAAAAATCTATATACAAAACTCTTGAAACCTTGCCAAGACACTTAAAACTACGTACAATTGTAAAATATAAATATATACTTTTAGAAAAAAGAAAAAAAAAGTCGAATCTGCTAATAAGTATTTCAGTTATGAGCTATATCTAAATACATTATTATGAATAATATGTAATTTTACATAAAAGGTTAGCGGGTATCTGACTGTTTTTGGGACAGGAATTGGAATAGCAGGGTTTTGAATGTAGACAGGAATGAAGAATGCCGAATTTTGATAGGAAGGGAATTCCAAAATTTAACAGAGCGAGCTATGAAGGAGTTTTAGAACGAGGCCGATCTGTGAGAAGGAATGTAAAAGTCGGAAGGTCGAGATCTTGTGGAAAGGGAGTGGACTGAGGATTTGAATTGGAGAAGATTGTGGTCGTAAGAAGGACGATGATTGTTGATGATATGATAGAGGAATATACCTAGGAAATATTGTCTTCGAATGGAGGGGAAGAGCCACTCTAACTCAGTGTAGTGGTGAGAGACATGGTAGTATCTCGGGGCACCAATTACAAATCTTTTCAGTCTGTCACTGAGCTCCACCGAGAGTCCATCATACACCACACAGCTGTAGTCAAAGTGGGGGAAGATGAGAGAGGAAACCAGGAGTCTACGTGTATGTTGAGGTAGGAGATGGCGGAAGCGATGGAATAGCTTGAGGATAGAAATTGTCCGTCGGGAGATGTGAGAAATATGGTGATTCCAGGAGAGGTTTTGATCAATAAATAGTCCTAAATTTTTTACAGTGGAGTAGAAAGAGATTGGCTGGTCACCAAGATTTAGTATGGGAAAGTCGGTATAGGATCTAAGGAGGGGCTTGGAACCAATGAGAATAACAATAGCCTGAGTTTTTGCAGCATTTAACCTTAATCCGTTTAAATTTGCCCAGGCACAGATTCGATCTAGGTCTGCTTGGATCTTAGTAAATGCTACCAATAGCTCAGGGGGAGAAAAGGATAGGTATATTTGCGAATTGTCTGCATAAAGGTGGTGGGAACAATGGAGAATTGAGTCATGGAGGTCGTTAATATAGGAACTAAAAAGGAGAGGAGATACGCAAGATCCTTGGGCAATTCAGAATTCAGAGAATAAAGGCAGGTAGGCAGATAGTGGTTGATTAGGAATGGAGACTGCTTGGGTGCGTTGTGAGAGAAAAGATTGGAACCAAGAGATGGAGCTATTGGAGAAGGAAAGTGATTTTAGTTTGTTGAAAAGGATGGGATGGTTGATGGAATCGAAGGCTTTAGAGAAGTCAAGAAGTATAAGGACAGTTAATTGTTTATTATCTATTGCAGTCTGAACATCATTGGTGATTTTGATTAAGGCAGATTGTGTGGAGTAGCCGGGACGGAAACCAGATTGGAGAGGATCAAGTTGGTTGGACTTTTCGAGGAAATTGGAAACTTTGGATTGCACCAATCTTTCTAGGGATTTTGAGAGATTGGAAAGAATTGAGATTGGGCGAAAGTCATCGGGAGAGGATGGATTAGGCTTTTTATTTAAAGGGAGTACAATGGCTTTTTTCCAAGAGGTAGGGAATATTGAGTTCTGTAGGAAGAAATTGTAGATGAAAAGGAGAACTGGGAGGATTTCCGGGAGTCATAATTTTATCAATTTGACAGGAATGCCATCTGGTCCTATGGAATTGGTGTGGGATTTCATTCCTGCGGTTAATAAGTCAGTCGGGGAAATGTCGGAAAAATAAAAGTAATCATCAATAAATGATGACTCAGGAGCAAAGTTGGAAGAGACGGGAAAAGAAGAGGTAGAGGAGGCAGAAATAAAATGTGCATTTAAATCGTCAGGTGAAACGGGAAAGACTAGTGAGGAAGGAGATCTGGACGGTTCACAGAGGGAAAGTTTGCGAAGGATTAGCCATTTAAATTTGGGATCTGGAGCAGATGAGAGGGCTTCATGGAAGTATGAAGCTTTAGCTCGCCGAATTCTTGTTTGTGTCAAGTTGCGGAGCACCCTAAACGCTTGATGATCATCTGTAAGCCTGGTACGTCTAAAGCGTCTACGGACAGCATCACGCCTCTTCTGCAGATCCTTAATTTCTTGGCACATCCAAGGTGCAAATATAGGTTGGCTATGATTAACGAGCATTCTTGTTTCCCTTTGGTGGACCTAGTTTCATCGATTTCAACCTTATCAACTTTCAAATCTTACGCAGATGGTCCTCTGAGTTTGGAGTCTCTGACGTTCTTAACTCAGACAATATTGGACTGTTCAATAGAAAGGTTATGCTGATTTTATTGTCAGCTTGGGAGGGAGAACCAGACATGTTTTCCTACTGACCTGAATCCAAGGGCACGTCAGAGAGATTCTTTAGTACACCAAAAAAAAAAAAAAAAAAAAATCGATCCAAACGACTTTTGTAGGGAAAAACGAACTGGACGCCTATTTAATGAATTATCGGACCACAACCTTGAGCAACATCTGGTTTCATTCCAGTAAGTCTACTTTTTAAAAAAAAAAACCTTTAATATTGCGTATTTTTCACCTGTTGAAGCTGTAGAGAAAACTTGAAAGTGAAAAAACGAGAATATCAAAACAAGCAGAAACCTTACTGCTTCTCTTGGGCTACATCCATCGCATATAATACTTGTAAAGGAGCCACACACTAACAATTTTACATCTTTCTTCGACCTTAGCCCTTATGAAGTAGTGTTCGTTAATGGTAACAGCTAAATGCCATGAAAAAATGCGCAATACCTCATTTTCTTTATTACTTATGTATCTATCCTTTGATATATTTACCGTGATAATCTTCCATATCCTGATATTCCATTTATTGTTCCATTTTATAAAAGATCTATAACTGTTACCTGGTAACGTGTACTAATTTAATATTAACTATTATTTTCTGTATTTGTACCTTGTATCAATCAATATTTATTGTTTGTATCTTGCTTTTCAATCTACAACGTAGGTCAAAACGTTGGAAAATGTAATAAAACAGTACTTATAATAAATACTTACCAGATTAACTTGTCTCACTAGCCCAATGGGTTTTTAAGATTATTAAGAGTCTACCCTCCTTCTATCTCAATCATGACTTAGAACCCATATGGCGCAGTTTTTACTAAAACTGTACTCAATAACTATATCAGCTTCTCCAAAAATGTTTTTCTTCATAGAATGGAAATATTGTTGTTTTTTTAAAGCAAACTGAACCGCCCAAAACGGTGGAAAAGTTACTTTTTACTGTCACTTTTCAAGCTAAAGTTAACAGGGAGATGTTCATTCTTAATGAACAATTGCTCGATTATTGTAATCTCCAACGGTATATGGATCTCACTAAACATTTGCATTATGAAATACTAATCTAACTGTATCCAAGTATTACAGGTTTTAATAATTTCATTATCAATATTTGTGCTATCTCATAATACAACCATGACTTTTTGGAAAAACTCCAGTCTACATCATAAGTATACTAAGTACTACATATAAATTTACTTAATTGTGATTTATAAACTTACAATTGTGGACAAACCCAACCTGTTGCAGAACTGAAAAAGATCTATAATTCATATAAGTTCATAACAAATAATTACTCTACATTTAAGAATAAACGCTCTTTCTGTTCTCTAAGAAGAGGTGACTCGGAAAGTGAAAAATATTCCTTTTTTTATAATTACCCTTGTAATATGTTTAATAAATTTAAATAATTAATATAGATAATATTTCAATTTAATATTTATATGATATATCTTTTGTATAAAATGATATAATAATACAAAGAGGATCAGAGAGATTGAAAAGCCCCCACTCCTTCAAGTTGTTTCCGCCAACTTTTGTAGGAGTGGGGGTAAGCGGACAGCTCTCCTTCGAATTATCTCTTAGTGAATGGCTTTATTGGCCGGTTCTAAATTTGAAGTTTAATGTTGTTCTAAAGGATAATTGTGTTCACGTTTTTTAACGAAGCCTGTTCCAACAACAATGTCGAAGCCAAACGAAGTTAGTTTGGATACTACAGATACTGTAGAAATTTCCGTAAGTATTGCAGTTGTGTTGTAATGTGATCGAGAGCTAGTTTATTTTCACTTTGTTATTAATATATTACACTTTTTATTCATTGTACATTAGTAGCATTTTAGTCTACCGCTTAACGTGGCCGAGCTATTGTTAATGTTGCCTCTATTCCTGAATGATGGAGGTGTAAACATAAGATTGTCAATTGTATATTTTAATCCTTGTGTCATTGTTTATGGTTTTATTGGTTTATACAGTTGCTATAACAATAGTGATTTAAACTCTTAAATATTTAAAACATCTAATGCTGTTATTGTTTTTATATTTAAAATTATGTTATTGTTTATATTTATGCTTACCTCTGAAGTGTTTCGTTTTATAATGATTTTCTCCTAAATTAGATGTATTTTATATTTATATATGTGTTTGTAATGGGTATTTTTTCTAAATCTTGAGCAGTCCAAGGTTAGCAACTTTATCTGATGGTTTCTTAAATTTTACTTTTTAAACTGCTCAGTTGTTAAGAAAACAAAATGTTTACCCTGTTTTTTGACATGATTAAAAGATACTGTCATAAATCTGACTAAGATCTGCGTCTTACGAATTAAATGGTTCTTTACAGAAATATATTGTTTAGAACAATGAGCTTGATTAAGTTTGTTTGTCCTTTGGGATGTTGTAATTTTAAGTTTAGTTGTATATTTTAATAAATTAAATGTTTATTGAATTTTAAATCATAAATAATGATTAAAAACTTGAATGAGGTTGTCCAATTTTCATTTGTTCTTCAATTAGAAAAACATAACTTAGTTGTAGTCTTTATTTATTTCATTTAAATTGTTTGATAGACATCTGCATTTATATAAACTTGCTTTCTTTATTGTTGTTATTCAATTCACTTTCTAATTAGTTTTGTTATGTTAACTTCAGTTATAAATATTGATTTTTATTTCAAATAGTCAAACAATTAAAGTAAGATTTGATCTGTACTAGATAATTGATTATTGAAGGAAGTTTGTCGACTGTTCTACATATCATGGCTGATAAATATTCAGGACGCAGTCAGTATAAAGTTTTTATTGGTGCCGACATTAGCAGTACTTGAATACCTTCAGTGCTCGAAACACACCCTGATGATGACCCATATGTTTAGGGTGAAACGTCGCCACCAATAAAAACTTTATAATGACTGCGTCCTAAATATTTATCATCCACAATTGATAATTGAGTAGTCTAGTTACAAAACATAGTCAGGTCAACATTGCAAAATTTTGCGGAAGCATACAATTTTTTGTTATGGTTGGTTGCTTATTTAAACAGATCCTCTTCTTTGCTTTCTTGTGGTTCTGTGGCATTGTTTTATATGGGTCATATTCAATACAAATATACAACTAGGATATTACTAATAATTTACTGTACCAAAATTGAATGTAAATAATTAAACTGCTAGCTGCTATAGTAGAGGTATTCATACACTTGTTGTTAATGCTTAATATACTATGCTAAGCATTCAACACAAAGTTTGAATTAATGGATTAATAACCTGTCTACTAAAGTGTTATTAGTTACAGTAAGGTTATGCCTGTACTGTAAACAAAGTTTTTGAGTTCTTAATTGATCTATTAACGTTTTGATTTATTTTTTAAATACCAGAGCGAAATTAAAAGACTGAGTTGCTGGATTATTTGGTTAAAAATGCTTTATAAGAAAGCATGAATGAAGATTCATATGATTCAGACGGCAAAGAACTTGATGAATACATAGATGACACCCCAGCTATCTTTATATTCCATTTATATGGATATTGTATGCAGATAAAGAACAAAGAATCCAAACCATACAATAACCTACTCCGTGTGTTTTCGAAGTTAGGAACACTTTACAGTATCGTAGGCTGTGTTGAAATCGAGAATGCAAGCACCCATTTTAACATACCTTTCATAAATAATTTTCTCGACTTTACACATTTAAGATGTTTACAATACTTACAATAGCACTTCAACTGGTTGCATGAATATGTCTTGTGGTTCTCTGGCATCATGCTATTTCTATGCCCTACTGTCTCATAGCACAATCTTATACATTGGCTATAGAGGATATTCATGAGTTGTTTGCTGTTTTCAATTTGTACAATATTTGTAGAGCATGTAAATATACACTTTTAATAAAAATAAATTTACACTAGCTTAAGAAAAAATAGAATTTGATAAAATTAGAATTCAACTATTTGTAGTTAATTCCCTGTCCCATTCAGTAGATAAATATCAGCATGTTAAGGATCAACATGCTTTGCTGTTGTAATTCTTTGCTCAAACTGAAGCAGGAAGCAGATGGAATTTGATAAAATTGATTTGGTACCAACCCAAATCTCTGAAAATCTTATCATAATTGGATTTACAGTAATAAGTATTATTGCCATTACATGGTTTATACTGAAAAACTGACACAGAAATAAATCTGTTCCTTGATGTATAAAACGCTAATGGCGGGTAAAAACATCTGAAGACGGACCTTGTTTTTTTTCAATTCGTACATGAATTTACAAGTTCTCTAGTCACTGATTGGATGGCATTAATGAAGTCCAGAGGTTATAAATTTTTTCAATTATTATAACAGACCTCTCATAGATTTATATTTAATGAAAACAAAGGATAGTACAGTAAGTAGAAATTCTTTCTGCTTTTTCAAATTTAAGGAATATTATGATAGGAGCCATGACATTCATGAGGTTATTGATTGATATCTATGAAGTGATGGAGATATCTTGTTTTATATTTTTGAGAAACAAAGCCTAGTGCATAAAACTTTTTTGTATGCTATAAATAGAGAATGTTTCTAAATATATGATTTTTTTTTTTAATCAAAATATATGGGTGTTTTACAAATTTATATGCAATAATAGACCTCTAAATTCATCATAAGTGACATTCATGAGGTTAATACTTCTTTCAAAAAAGATTAATTTCCATAATCATTTTAAACTGGCATTAAAACTGAAGCTATGAATTCATCACTTTGTTTAAAAGATTGTTCAGGTGAGAGCTGTGAATTTTTTTTAAATAGCCAGGCAATGAATCTACACTGTTTTATTTATTTATATTTTTAATGGCCCATACAATCTTTGTTCTATCCTTATACCATTTAAGGCAGTTTTGCTCAATATCATTGGCCTCATCAAGTTTTATTAGAAATTTTTAGAACTTAGCGCTTTTGAAGGCTTTCAAAAAGAAAGCCTCCACATGTGGGTGATTGATTTTTCAACAGAACAGGTATTGCATAGAGAAATAAACAACCAGATAGAAACAATGTCTAACTTATTTTGTGATAATAATTGACCTGGTCATGTTTGCAACTGGACTACTCATTTATAGATGTATAAAGCCAGATTCATTATAATAAGTACATGGAATGAATCTAGTCAATAGGCCCAGATATGAGATTGAAATATGAAAAGAAAGATCGTTTTGGACTTTTGTGGGTGAAATATTTAATGAAAATATAAACCACAATTAATTTTCTATTGTACCAATTGTAAGGGATTTATAGTTAGATAAGGCAGAGATGAATAAAGTATTGGAGGAAACAAATAATAGAATAGAATAAAAAATAATCTTTATCCTGGGAATAGATTCCTTAAGAATAAAAACATGTTTGCAAATAGATTGAATCAATACTGGCCAAAAATAACATAACTGAATTTGGTGTATATTGGATGGTAGTAAGATATTCCAGAAGGTAGTGGAGTGGACAATATTAATGCTCTCTAGGTTTTGGTTCTGGGTAAGGAATATATAGGTGAGAAACACAGGATCTTGTTTTCTGTGAATAAACCACAAGGGTTTAAAATGCAAGAGACTCTAGATGTTGGAAGCGTGCTGGTAACTAATGGTTTGGTATGAAAGATCCAAGGAAATATTGTCAGCAGCAGGATGGGAAGAATCACTTTAAAGAAGGTGGAACTTATGAGACGGTGCCAATGTACCAAAGATAAATCTTAAAATGTCACAGTTCATGATTTGTTTCAATCTGTACTTAAGTACAATCAAGAGGCCACCATATACCATATAGTTCTCATCAAAATTGGGGATAATGGCTGAAGAAATAAAGAGCTTGAGTGTATGTTGTGGAAAAAGGTGATGGGAACAGCAATAGAGGTATCCAAGACCCCAAATATCCAAGTTTTTAACTGAATGTGATGGGATAATCATTCATTTATAAAGTTTGTGTGTGTGTGTGGACACAGTCACTTTGAGGTTTTTATTGGTGCCGTTCCAACCCAAGTATCATATGTATTGACTATTTATCACCTATAGTACTAAAGTTGGAAAGGATCTTAAGTAAATGCTTCTTATAACTTGGAAGGATAAAACTATTGAAGAAGGATTTGGGAGTCATCAGCATATAGGAAGTGGGAGCAGTGATGTATTCAATTAAGATCATTGATATAGAAATCAAAAATTAGATCATGGAATTGTGAGTTACTTCATAGAAAATGAAAAGTAAGGAAGATAGGGGTTGTTTTGAAATGGAGACTGCTTAGGTCCATTGGGTATAGAAATATTGAAAACAGAGAATAGAGTTCTTGGAGAAGGGTAGTGATCTAACTAGAGGAGGTTGTTGTAGGGAGAAGTGAGGTCAAAAACCAAATTGAAGAGAGTAGAATTGTTTTGAGTCTTACAGGATATTGGAAATTAATTAATACGTAATAAAACAAGTGCAGTGATAAAAACTTTTAATAGTTTGGTTTGCTTGTGAGAGTGTGTGTGTATATATATGCAGCCATACCTCTAAAGTAATGATATATATAATCACTACTTTAGAGGAATGGCTTCACAGCTCAAAAATTAATGATTTCTACTTATTTAATTAACTTATATAATTAATCAAAAGTTATAAAAATATGATTTTTGAATAGTGCAATTGTGAAAATTTCAGTGAATTATTTAAAATGGATCTCTCAAATGATTTCAAATAAGAATTAATATTTTGTTGTGAATAGTTAATTAAATGCTCATAAGAAATTAATTATTTAGACTAAAGAAATAAAAGTGATAAGACAGAAATGAATTAAAATAAATTAATAGAGCTTTTAATATCTTTGTTTATTGTGGGGTGGAGTAATTTATGTTAGACCAATCCATTATTTTACCATTTAAATTTCTGTTAGTAAATGTTTCTTTATTTTTTACTATACTAAACCACATTTTTCAGAATGAATCTTCTGGAGATACCCAGTCATCCAAGGGTAAAAATGAAGATTTTGAAACCAAAATCGTGAGTATTTCTTACTTTTTTATGTTTTGTGATAATCAATTCCTCTAATCAGAGGAGGGGAGAGGTGGAAATTGGGGTTGCAATGACTCACATTTCCTTTTAGGAAGAATAAAGTTTCTGCAATGTGGATAAATCAGTAAAAGTATTGTAAATAGAAAAAATGTAAATTTGAAATGTTTAAGATTGAATTGGGCGGTTAGTCTTTCTAAATATAAACCACATAACTCTTACATTTATGCCTTGTATAAATCAAGGTATCTGCCCATTTTTTAAAGATTAATTGAAACTGAAACTAATAGAGGAGATGATGTTTTATAGAACCCCTCTTATAAATACAAACCATATTAAGAGTTACAACACAGTAAATTTAAATATAATGGATAAGAATTTGACAAATCTTTGCATTCTTACAAAAAATGTGACTCTGGCAAATAGAGGTTTGCAAAGGCTTCTGTACAGAGCTAAAATAAAAAAAAATGAGAAGCAATCTAATTCAAGACACTTGTCCAAAACACCTTATTTAGCCAATGTTCTTCCAGTATTATATTACCTCAATTAGTTTTATATTAAGGCTCTCTCTGATCGTAGTGTTCCTTATACTGTCTCTTTCATCTTTCTTAGGTTAGTATCTGTAAGAATGTGTTTTTATGGATTTCCTTTTTAATCTGCTTTAAATTTTTAGTACTGTACTGTAGTAATTTTTAGTGCTGTATATCTCTACTGGCAGTGTAACCTCTCCTCTTGTAACATATGATTATTAGCTTTAATTTGTTTATCAATATACAGGATGTCCCGTAAATAGAGGGGATTTTAATAGGAGTGATAGCAAACCTCAAGACCTACAAAAAAGTTCACATAAACAATGGGCTGATTTTCACCAGAGAAGTAGGAAATCTAAATTTTGTGTTTTTTTAAGAGAGTTTTTTTATTGAATAGGAAGCGATAACTAAAGAAATATTTAGTTTAAGTAATTAACAATTACTTTACTGTAAACTAGACAAAATTTACTTTAATTGGAAAGGGATTTTGTCATTATTAAAACGATTCAAAGAAGACATTTGAGCAACTAAACTAAGCTAAGTTCTGTTATAAAAAACATCATAAATTATTCACAATTTTTTTCATCATCCAACTATATTACAAGTTACCCCACTTCAAGAAAAACTACCTCTTTTAATAAGATTGAACTTTATCATTAAATTGAGGTTTATCAATCAAAAAACTGAGATTCAGCTCAAGTTGTATAAAGGAGAGATTTTCTATTTAGTCTCCTAAAAGTTCCTCAGTTTTCAGCAAAAATGATTACAATTAACTGTTGCAAAGCTATTATTTCTTGCTTTTTCATGATCAGGAATGTATTGTAATAAAAATAATTGTCTAAATACACATTTTATTTATTAAAACAAAAAATTTAAAAATTAAGATAATTTAAATATTTTTCATGTAAAATGGTTATAAAATTGTGTTTTTCTCTCACATTTCTAACATTGGAATTGATCCGCATTTATCAGTGGCAAACATAATGTTCCTAAAATTGGCGTTAAAAATAAAAAAAAACCTGCTGATTGCTTCAATTATTTTCATGAAAACATAAATATTAGGCCTAAAACATGAAGATTGTCACTTATAAATAGATAAACTCTTATAACAAAGATCTTGAAGAAAAACACAATTTCATAACCACCTTACATGAAAAGTATTTTAAATATTTTTTTTTACCTAATAATTTTATTTTATTTTTTATAAATAAAGTATATATTTAGGCAATTATTTCTATTAGAATCAATCGCAGATCATGGAAAAACAAAAATAAAAGCTTTGCAACAGTTGATTATAGTAATTTTTGCTGAAAACACAGATACTTTTTGGAGATGGATAGAAAATCACTTTATCCTCTTTATAACTTAAGGTGAATCTCAATTTTTCGCCTGATAAACCTCAATTTAATTAATATACACTTAACCTTATCAAATGAGGTAGTTTTTCTAAAAGTGGGATAATTATAGTATAGTTGGATGATGATAAAAAAAAAATCATATATTATTTACGACTTCCTACAGTTACCGCTTATAGTATATCGCTAAATGTAGGATCCTCGACTTTATCACGTAGCTCACAATTTGGTATCACCTTTATTTTAAGCAAATATAAGAATTTATTTGTAATCCCATGATTGGTTCTCAACCTAGATTTGTCACCTCACTTCTTTCCAATCATATTCCAATAGAGGCGAACAACGGTTTTAAAGAAGTACACTTTCAACGGAGCTATAGCTTAAAGTTTACAGCTTACAAATCATTGACCCCATTAAAATAACAAAAACCCTATTAATTTTATCGACGGTAGGCAATAAAAACCTCCGTACTCCATCTGTTTTGTAAATCACATAACTCCAATCTTTGAGCAATATATATATGTATTGCCTAGAGAGATTTGAAAGTATATCTCTGTATTCAAACTATAAATGATTATGGATTGTACACCTATTAGTTAGTTACACGCGACCATTTTGCAGGACTTGGTTATTTAGACTCGGGAAGCCTCAAAACGTGTATTTCTGTTAAAAACTCAGGTTCGAAAATTTTCACAATTGCAATACTTTCTCTTACTATATATTACATATATAGGTAAGTGAAGGAGGCGGCGTGGCCGAATGGCCTAATGCGTGTGCACAGCACCACGAGTTGCCCGGCAACCAGATGACCTGAATATGAGATTAAAACCAGTACGAGTTCGCGACCTGGTGCCAGAGGAGATTTTAAATTCCCCGTATTAACTCTTCAGTAAGCCTTAATGTTCTATCCCCATTGTTTTCTTTTCTTCCTATATTTATAAACTTTGTTTTGATTAATTCTATTAGCCTGTTGATTTTCTTTAGTTCACTTGGAGGATACGGAGGTTAAATTGAAGGTTTCGGCAATATCTCCTAATTACGATTAACTAAATAAGTCATCAGCAAACACTGGTGCTGTATAGATAACTTGCTGCTTTAGTCTTATAAAACTCATATGAAGTGGTCCCATGTTTAGCTTGAATCTTTTGAGTGTGAAGTCGAGGATAGTTATGGAAAGGAATAGTCTTAACCTGAAACCTTGCCTGATACTGATAAAAGTCACAAATTTAGGTGTCTATATTATCGAGGGCGGAGGCCGAGCAAGCTAACGTGTGTGCACAGCATGTTGCTCGACAACCTGATAACCGAAGTTTAGAAGAAAAATAATTTTGAGTTCAAATCCCGGTGCCCGGTGGGACTTTAAACTCAGCATAATTCTCTCGCCCTCTTTATTTTCATTATGTGGTTTGTTAAATGATTCCATTTTTTCCAATTATTTTAAAGAGTGGTGCTAAAATATCTACAAAGAAATAAATTATTCACAGTAAAGATCTCAGTTCCTTTTTTGTGTGTCTGTTATGTTACATTCTATTAGTGAAACTTTTACCAATTTTTATTACTCCATTTGATTAATTTAAATGTTTTAATTTCAGGAAACTGACCGTTCTAGAAGATTTGAATTTCTGTTAAAGCAAACAGAAATTTTTTCACATTTTATGACGAATCAAGGAAAGTCTAACAGCCCTGCAAAGCCTAAAGTCGGACGTCCTAGGAAAGAAACTAATAAATTAGCTCCAGCAAGTGGTGATGTATCTGCCGAGTATGTATCAATTATTATTTTATTAAATTTTAAGTTATTGATATAAAAGTTTAAGGTTTGTACTAGGAATCAACTGATATAGAAATTTTAGCCGACACCAACATTTCAAAGTGATATATTAATATATCAGTCGTTTTTTCCTTTCTGTTAAGGTTTTTTACAGTTTCACGTGAAATATCCTCCTTATTGCTGAATAAGCTATCAATCAATCAATCATATAGAGATCTTCTACCTATATAAAAATTGTAGGCAAGAAAAGAGCGACATATCGATATATCCGTTTTTCATTCATATCCTATCATGGTTAATTTGGCTTTGCTTGAAAAATTTTCCCTATTGCTGAATGAACATGTCCATCAATAGTCTGTATATCCACCTTTATAGATATTGTTGCCAATAGAATTATTCAAAAGACTGATATATTGGCCTTTCAGCCTTATTTTATGAGGATTGGTAAATTTTCACATGGAATATTCTATTTTAATGGACAGTTTAACCAATCATTTAGAGATCGACCTGTATAGAAATATGAGCTCATATTGATATTCCATATACCATTATATCGGCCTTTCAGCCTTATTCTATTAACAGCCATATATCAATCAATCATCTTGGAATCCACCTGTATAGAAGAATGAGCTGTAATCTATGAGGATTGGTTAAGTTTCACATGGAATATTATACTTATTACTGAATAAAACTTTTAATAAATTGTCTAGGAATCAATATTTCGGCCTTAGCATATCGCTAATGTATTTTATTTCTTTAAGTATCATTATATTAATTTTGTGAAACTATAATAAATAAATCATCCATCTCAATCAACTCAAATGGATAATCACTACTCTCTGAAGTAACTCAAACAATTGTTATAGTAAGAATAAACATAACCTGCATTTCATTGCCAAATAAGATGTGTTTTTTTTTTCATTAATGAAAATAATCAATCGGCTTTTAATATCGATATCAGTCAATCTCTGGTTTATACTAAATAATTATCTGAAAATTTATATTTTATTAGGCTCAACTCCAAAACATTTTTGTTTTGCATTAGAATAAAAATAATTTATTTGTTGTTTATTGTAGCCATCGACATCGTATGACTGAACAGGAAGAAGATGAAGAATTACTTGCTGAAAGTAACGTTTCTTCAAAATCATTAGCAAGATTCGATGCTTCACCTTTTTATATCAAAAGTGGAGAATTAAGGGATTATCAGATACGTGGTTTGAACTGGATGATATCTCTTTATGAACATGGTATAAATGGTATTCTTGCTGATGAGATGGGTTTAGGTAAAACTCTCCAAACCATCTCGCTTCTTGGGTAAGAATAGTTTTATTGTTGTTATTGATTTTTGAGTTCAGTTTTTTGTAAATATATTAATTTATTATCATTTTAGTTACATGAAGCATTATAGAAATATACCGGGACCACATATGGTCATCGTTCCAAAATCAACTTTGGCTAATTGGATGAATGAATTTAAAAAGTGGTGTCCTAGCCTACGTGCTGTGTGTTTGATTGGAGATCAGGAAACAAGGGTAATTTTCTCTCTCTCTCTCTCTCTCTCTCCCCCCTCTCCCTCTCCTGCATATTATATCAGCCATAGTTTTGTTGTAAAGTTAATTATATCAATGCAAATAAACATTGTGTCTATGATGGAAAATTGTATGTATAAACTGTTAAACTGTATAAGGTTTGAATGATAACTTAGCACTATTTCAGTAAATAGTGTTATATTAAATACTTATGTGTTATACTTATATTAAATTATAAGTTTGAGGTCGGGAAATAATTTTTTTTTTTTCACTCAGAATGCATTCATTAGAGACACTCTAATGCCTGGAGAATGGGATGTGTGTGTTACATCTTATGAAATGATTATACGTGAAAAGAGTGTTTTTAAGAAATTCAACTGGAGATACATGGTTATTGATGAAGCTCACAGAATCAAGAATGAAAAATCCAAACTCTCTGAGATTGTGAGAGAGTTCAAAACAACAAATAGATTACTTTTGACTGGTACCCCATTGCAAAACAACCTCCATGAATTGTGGTCCCTTCTTAACTTCCTTCTACCAGATGTCTTCAATTCATCAGACGTGAGTTTCTTTTTTTTTTTTTATTAAATAATTTAGTATTAGGTAGTAGTTTTACTTTAATTGTTATTTTATTTTCTGTATATATTTTTTTTTATTTCAGGATTTCGATTCATGGTTTAATACCAACACCTTCCTTGGAGACAATTCTCTCGTTGAGAGATTACATGCAGTAAGTATGTTTTACTAACTGTAGCACTTGAGGTTAACTTTTTTTTTTTTAAATAAAAAATGTTCTGTAATTATTATTAACCAATTATTTATGTGTGTATATTTATGATGATTCCATAAATAATTTGCCTAGTTTTATCACTTGCAAAGTTATAAAAATGAAATATGTATTTCAAACCTTTCTTATTGAAATAATTAATAACAACATATTTTCTAGGTACTAAGGCCTTTCCTCCTAAGAAGATTGAAATCTGAGGTAGAGAAAAAGCTCAAACCCAAGAAAGAAGTTAAAATTTATGTTGGACTAAGTAAAATGCAAAGAGAATGGTAAATTATACTATTAAATCAACTAGTATATTTAAGTGGCAAGCCAAGATGATAGTGGGTGTATTATATATTTTGCTATTGGCCATCTTTCTTTCATAGAAAAAATTTTAATTTGAAAGCTTGGTATAAATATATTTGAAAAATAGTCCATCTTATAAAATGGAAACATATTCTAACAAAGCAATCAATAATCTATATCAAGATAGCAGTTTATCTATGAACAGCTTTCAGAATCATTTTATATAAAAATGATTGAAGCTAATTACATACAAATTTATTACTTGATCAATCCACAGGGATATCGGATTTCATAATCATTCAATTATCATTTTTGTAATTATAATTGATTATATATATAATGTTAGCTATGAGGTTGTCATAGAAATGGATAATACTTTGGTTTTTGGAAGAATATCATTTTATTTTCTATATTCCATTTCCTTTTTTGTAGAACCTCCTGTTTTTCTTTACCATTGCACCCATTTCAATGAAATTTTAAGAGTAAATTAAATCAGAAATATCAATCATACATTTTCCAAGTAATGAAATTGAAATTGAGTGAGTCAATTCTAGGTTACATTTGCAGTTTTGTTTTCAGTTTACTGATAAGGGTCTACTTTTTTTTTAACTTCCTTTCATATTTCTAAAGAAATTACTTGGAGGTGTGGTAAATATATAAAATACAATTATATAATATATTGTTTTATATATTGACCGCACCCCCAACTTATTTCTTTTGAAATTGGAATCTACAGTCAACCATCTCAACACCCTTATTTATATATTTAAAAATACTAATTATTTTTATAGATATATTGGAATGTATTAACCTGTGAAAATCTACTATATATGTTACCAAATATTGTGATTAAATATTTATAGACACCAAATATTCTTTGATGCACTAGGAGAGTTCCATAAATTTGATATAAAATATGTTTTAAAAAATTAAATCATTATGCATTAAATAATAAACAACTTTAGGTTAGACTGGTAACATTTAGGTGAACTGTTGTTGGTACATGTGACAAAAAATATCAGTTATTGTTGATAGAAATAATTTGTAACTGATACCACTAGTTACTATTACACTTCTTAACTTTTTTACTCTTAATTGATTTATTTGATTCTTTAATTACTTTTTATCTATCTTTAGGTATACCAAAGTTCTAATGAAAGATATAGACGTCGTAAACGGTGCTGGTCGAGTTGAAAAAATGCGCCTCCAAAACATCCTCATGCAATTGAGGAAATGCAGTAACCACCCTTACCTTTTCGATGGAGCTGAGCCAGGTCCTCCCTATTCAACTGATGAACATCTGGTACTGCATTATTTCATTTTATTACAACCATGACAATGTGTTTCAGTTAATTATAACCTTAAGTTTTTTTTTCTTGACAGGTTTATAACAGTGGGAAAATGGCGATATTAGACAAGCTCCTTCCTAAATTACAAGAACAAGGCTCACGAGTTCTGATTTTCAGCCAAATGACGAGGATGATTGATATTCTTGAAGACTATTGTTACTGGAGGCAATATAATGTAAGATCTATTTGTTACTTTTACTCTTTGTATTATTTATTTAGGTTTAATGAAGTAACCTTAGAATTTCCTTTATTTTTAGTATTGTCGTCTTGATGGTAATACCCCTCATGAGGATAGGCAGCGGCAAATAAATGAGTTTAATGAAGATGACAGTAAAAAATTCATATTCATGTTATCCACTCGTGCAGGTGGTTTGGGTATCAATTTAGCCACTGCAGATGTAGTAATTTTGTATGATTCGGATTGGAACCCGCAAATGGATCTACAGGCCATGGTTAGTTTTAATTTTATTTTTGCAGCATTTTTGTCTATATACCCTTCATTTTTATATTATTTTTTTATTTTACTGTTATTTTAGGATCGTGCTCATCGAATTGGTCAAAAGAAACAAGTCAAAGTATTTAGAATGATAACTGAAAACACAGTTGAAGAGAAAATTGTCGAGAGAGCTGAAATAAAACTCCGCCTTGATAAGTTGGTTATCCAACAAGGTACTATATTTTTCATCTTTTTACCTTTAACTGTTTAACTTGACTCCATTGGTAAAACTTTTGGGTATTATACAGATAATAAGCAATGTATTTTATAAAAATTCTGCAAAACAAAAATATTTAATTATTTTTATTAGTTTTGATAATATTTTATTCCTGGTTTTTAGGTCGACTTGTTGACAATAAAACGGCACTTAACAAAGATGAAATGCTGAATATGATCCGTCATGGTGCCAATCATGTTTTTGCAAGTAAAGACTCTGAAATCACTGATGAAGACATTGACACGATTTTGGAAAAAGGAGAGGCTAGGGTAAGTTGAATTTAAAATGTCCACTATTAACTGCTTTTAAACTTGACGAACCTGCTGTATTCCTTATGGTTAATATTTCAGACAGAAGAAATGAATAAGAAGCTCGAACAACTTGGAGATTCTAACTTGAAAGACTTCATGATGGAAACCCCAACTGAGTCTGTTTACCAATTTGAAGGAGAAGATTACAGGTTAGACAATTTTATTACTATTATTTTTATTTCTTTTTAGAGTTGGTAGAACACCTTTGTCCTTAAATAAATAAAATTTCTAACAATATGTTCTATAGTCATTATTTATACAAAAAAAAATGTGTGCACCTATGGAGTGCGTCATCATCATATTATCATTGGTTTACTGCTTTCACTTGTGCCAGTTTGATAATTATTAAAAATTTATTTTCTGGCAGACCCTCGGAGTGAATATTGACTTTTTCATTCCGGCTGGATTAGTTTGGTTATCTGTAGGATAACTTGATCTTTCTGTCTTAAATATGCATATAATGATACTAAACCCCCAAATAAAAAAAAAAAAGTTTCACTGCAGTTCCTAATATTAATTTTTATTATTTTAATGATATTATTTGATTTTTTTTAGGGAAAAACAGAAAGTTTTAGGGATAGGGAGTTGGATAGAACCTCCGAAAAGAGAACGTAAAGCTAATTATGCTGTTGACGCTTATTTTAGAGAGGCATTAAGAGTATCTGAACCTAAAGCTCCTAAAGTACGTTTATATTTTATTTTATAATATTTTCAATTATTATTTATTTATTTTGTGTAAAATTTTATTATTTAATCTTTTAATTTTAGGCACCAAGGCCTCCTAAGCAGCCTATAGTCCAAGATTTCCAATTCTTTCCTCCTCGGCTGTTTGAGCTATTGGACCAAGAAATCTATTATTTCAGAAAAACTGTAGGATACAAAGTGAGTTTTTAAACTTATCAAAATGAATTAAAGTACTGTTTTTAATATAAATCTAATGTTGGTGAAATTTCCTCTATAGGTGCCTAAAAATCCTGAATTAGGTTCAGATGCATCACGTGTCCAAAAAGAAGAACAAAGAAAAATTGATGAGGCAGAACCTTTAACAGAAGAAGAACTTACTGAAAAGGAGAAACTTCTTACTCAGGTAATTAATTGTTTTATTGTTCAGAAACGCCATTATATACAAACTCACATACCCCATCCATATTTATTTCATTGTGATCTATTAAAAGATACTTATTGATGAGTTTCCTTAAGTCAATTCCAGGTCCTGGATCGCCCCAGTTCTCTTCTCATAGACTTTTCTTTGAAATCTGTTAGTCCTGATTTCTATGGTGCTTTTTCATGGAAATTGAAAATATCTTAACATAATTAGAAAAATATGGAACTGTTATATTTGTATGTATTATCAAATTAAAATTTTTAAGTTTGAACACTTATTTTTCAGGGTTTTACCAATTGGACTAAAAGAGATTTCAACCAGTTTATCAAAGCCAATGAAAAATATGGCCGTGACGATATTGATAATATTTCAAAAGAAGTAGAAGGTAATTTAATCGTTAAAAATGTGTGTTCTTATTTTAAACTCGCTTGAGAGTCTTATTTTTCTATAAACCAATTTGTTTTGTTTTTTTCTAAGGAAAAACGCCTGAAGAAGTGAGAGCTTACTCAGAGGTGTTTTGGGAACGATGCAATGAGCTACAGGACATAGATCGTATCATGGGACAGATTGACAGGGGAGAGGCTAAAATTCAGAGGAGAGCTAGTATTAAGAAAGCCCTTGATACTAAGGTACAAACCTTCTACTTATTAAAATAATATTTTAATTCCTTTTCTCTTTAAAATTTATATATATATATATATATATACACACATTTATAAATATATATATATATATATATATATATATATATATATATATATATAATTGATAATCTTTAGAAGTAGAAAATGGGCCAGCATGCTTGAAATGTTCAAGATAAATAAATTTGAAGGGTGTACTTTCCTTGAAAAAAAATTGTTTGTATTATAAACAGAAAATGTTGGTTTATTACAATAAGTCATTAAGTAACATATCTGTAAAAGTTTCTCACTGTGGAATCAAAATATTGTGTGCATTGTATTACTAAATTTGATGTGTAAAAAGCACTGTGTCGTTTTGATGCATGTAGTGTATTTTTTAAAGGTCAAAATTTAGAGAAACTTACTTATACATGTAGTTTCATCTAAAATTTACTTAGTGATTTATTGCAGTAAACCAACAATATCTTTACATAAATAACCTTGTTTATAGTAACAAAATATAAAACAAATCAATATAAATTCAACTACCTTTTAAAGATGTTATGACCACTGTGAGTCAAAAATGTTAACCAGAGCATTTTCTAAGGTTGAAAAAAATATTAAAACCAATCCTCTAAGGTGCTGACCGCGAGAAATCTTTAAAATATTTTTAATATAATAATGTGGTGACTAATTAATTTTGTACTTCTGAAATATTATGAAAAATGTGTTAAATTTAATATAAAGCATCAGTAAATGACAATTTCATAGTTGAAAGTGGTATATTAACTGATTTCATTTAAATGCTCCAATTGGCCACCATTTAGAAACAAAATGATGGGTCGAGTCCTCAGAATAACATGATAATTTTCTGCAACAATATTTAGAAATAACTTATAAGCCAGCACACAAATCATTACAGATATCTAAAATTATTTCAACAGTTTTTAAGTTAACATAAAATAGTTCACTATAAATTATTCCAGAAAAATCATTAAATTGAAATATTTTAGTAGATGTTTCTTTTTTAGATTTTAACATTAAGTAATAGGTTGTTATAGAAAGCAGCTTTCAGTTTAAGTAATAATATATATGTTGTTGTGTATGGGTGTGTATATATATATATATATAATGTGTGTGTGTGTGTGTGTGTGCCCACATACCTTCTGTGTAAAGGACTGGTGTTTACTGTGACTGAATATCTTGTATCATTTTGTTAAGTTTTTTTTTTTTTTAATATAATTTTTTTATTAGAATTCACCCAATATAAAATGTGCCAACTACTTTTTGCTGATACTAAGTAACTATTTTAGATGAGCCGATACAGAGCCCCATTTCATCAACTTCGCATTTCCTATGGTACAAATAAGGGTAAAAATTATACTGAGGAAGAAGATAGATTCCTTGTTTGTATGTTGCATAAGCTTGGTTTTGACAAGGAAAATGTATATGAAGAACTTCGTGCTATGGTCAGGTATTGATAAATATCTTTATTTAAAAAAAAATCTTTTTACAAATTTTTGTTCATTTCTGAGATATATCTTAATCACTGTCTTAATTCTTGGGGCTATTTAGGTAGATCTTTCTGATAACATTAAAAGAATGAAAATAACATAATAATATATTAAATACTCATAGACAAATAAGTTTGACTTTTCAATAAAAATTATCTTAAGACATGACATCTAATTCAGCCCAATTATACCGAAAATTCTTGAATGGTTACAAAAATTAAGATACTTTTACTTTCACTTACCTATATATGAAATATATAGTAAGAGTAAGTATTGTGATCGTGAAAATTTTCGAATCTGAGTTTTCAACAGAAATACATGTTTTGAGGTCTCCTGAGTCCAAATAACCAATTCCCCAGCAAAATGGTCTGTGTGTGTTAGCAGTCTAGCTCAAAAACTAAAAATTGTATGTAACTGATATTACGTATTTAAGATACGTAAGCCTTAGATGTGACAGCAACTTTTTCGTTAAAATTGGCTAACTGGAAGTGCCACTTTGTATCAATGCTCAAACAAATTTTTACAATTTTCTCAAAAATGGCTCTTAACGATTTTGATTAAACTCGGTTTATCATTGTATTATTAAGTGGTCTTTAATATCAATTAGGTCTTATCCCCATTTGTCACTTGACAGGGCTTAAATGCTCAATGTTCATATACGTCTTCCTCTAAAGTACTTTTAATATGGTTTATTTTAAGTAATTAATCATCTCACATTATTTAGATTTACGAAAAAATGCTAAATATAACTTTTGAAAAATAAAAATGCTTATCCATGTCGAAAATGAATCTCTGGAAATACTAGTCAGAAGGTATACGTTTAATATATCGTTGGAAAGCTGAGAATTTTAGCAAAAACAATACATAGTACAGAAAGTTGTAGAAGGTAACGGAGAATGGCAAAAATATTATAAATAATAATTTTTGAAAACTAATATTATTTAACACAAATCACATGTTTTCAAAGAAATTAAATGAAATTTACTACCTAAATGTAAACTTTTAAAATTATTTTTAAGTTTAAAAAAATGATTTAAAATCCATCTAATCAAAGCAATGATATTGTTTAAAAAACTATCTTATTGTACTTGTGTGAAAGAAGTAAAATATAAAAATATTTCATGGATATGTTTATAATCTTAAATATACTTACTGAATTTGGTAGGGTTTTCAAATAACTGTAGAACTGATATTACATTTAAAGAATTAGGTATCTGTCATCCATTTATTCCGAAAAATCATCATGTAACCTTTTAGAAAATTAAATTATTGAATAATTTGATGAATTTCCCCTTTGCGATATTCCAACAGTATCCACTTACAATTAGTGTGACAACTTTTGACCTGTCTATGGCAGACAATGTAAATCTCTTAATTCAATTTTAGCAAACTTTGCAAAGGAAAATAACTGTTTAATAACTAATAGTTGTACAACCCATAATCAACTGGTGATATAATAAATTGGACTTTTGTTATTTTAATGGTATTTATAATTTGTTAGCTTTGAGATTTTAGCTTTAGCTCGTTTAAAAATGCAATTAAAAAACTTTATAATAGCCCAACACGGCCAAAAAATAATTTTTATTCTAAGTTGAGCTGTAAGTGAGAGTTGTGTGTTGCGCGCACCAGATTTGGTAAAATGTTACTTAAAAACTTGAATTTTATAATTCTCCTACCACTGAAAACCCTGCCATTTTGAGAATCTCTGCTAATCTTTTTTTTTTTGTGGCAAAGATCTTAAGTATGGGTCTGACAATATATATATATATATATATATATATATATATATATATTCTTTATTTTTTTTACAGAATTAAATAATCTAATTTTAAAATTAAATAGGAAACTCATAACTCTAATATATCCTGAGATAGAGCTCTTAAAAATATAAACTTCAAATTCTTTGTTAGTTATTGCTTAGTAATAACTACATATAATGTTTTCTAGGACAGAGTCCGAAACTATTTTCATTAATTAATTTCGTTCAAAACATGAGGTGTTTTCTTCCATCATCAAGTCTAATCTTCTAATAGTTTTGGTGACTCCATAATTAATTTTGCCTAAATGAGATAAACAGAAGCATGAGCCCTTATGGGTCTTGATTGTTCATTATTGCTCATAATTTTCTCTACTCTGTACACATCATGTAAATCTTTGTCAGCATTTTTTTAATCCTCTTGCAATTATAATGGTTCCAATGAAGGACATTAGGGCATACATGGAAGTACATACAATTTATAGAAGCACTCACCTAATCAAAAATTATCAATACAATTACCATGTATTACATTAAATATTAACTAAATAAGAACCATTTTCTTCCCAAAACTTTGGATCTATACAACCTGGCAAAACCATTTTTATGTTAAACTTCAGCTATTAACCTCTTCTACAAATATTATCATGTCAGACTTTGTCATAGGAATCATTAATTAATTGCTACCAAATAATAATCAATAAAGATTTTGAGCTTGTCATATTATTTTGGTAAAAATCTTAATATAAAAGACCTCTATCTTGGGAATTATTTCACCTAAAATTGTATATTATATGTTAACCACAACTTCGAGTTGGTCTTGGAATTCTGAGTTATTGTTGTCTGGCTCATCCAGATGAATCCCAATATAAATATATATTTCCATATGTTCAAGTTCGTCGCATTAATCCTAAGTACTCCATTAATGTTCTAGAGATACAAATAAACCTATTCTATCCACAGTGGGAAGGAACGGTCGAGATTCATTTGGTGGGTGTGCCACAAAATAAATCTCAACCCGCTCAGGACAGTTTCGGATTGGCCTCACTGAACTCGAGAATGTTAAAGTACACTTTAACACTTTCGGGCTTCACGACCTCTATCCTATCTTAACCATGAGTTGCTGTCAACTTGAGGGGAAATAATCGTTGAGCAAAGGAGCATATGCTCTTTTTACTCAGGCTGGACAGTCCTCCTATCAGATCTTATAAACATATTCTATGTGATTTAAATTGATTCAAGGTGTTCAGATCTTACTGAATACTTTTATACACTTACACATATATGTATGTATTTATAATAATAATTTGATTTTGATTTGCTCTTGTGGAATTTCTTCAGGTGCGCACCTCAATTCAGATTTGATTGGTTTATCAAATCGAGAACAGCAATGGAACTGCAGAGGCGCTGTAATACACTTATCACTCTGATAGAAAGAGAAAACCAGGAACTTGAAGAAAGAGAAAGGGCTGAAAAGAGAAAAGGAAGGGGGAGTGGACGAGGTCCTGGTTCTGGGAAAAGGAAAGGAGAGGGTTCTATTTCCTCACCCCCTCCTGTTCCAGGCCAAGGGGATAAGAATAGCCCTGCAAGGAAAAAGAAAAAGTACGTTTCTACTGAATGAAATGTTTAAACCCGAAACATTAATTATGTCTAATTTTAGGACATTTTTGCTTTTTTTTTTAATTGCTTCTTTCAGTATTCATTTAGTTATCATTTACAGTTTTAACTTTCTTATTTTTATTTTTTTTTAATCGTTTATTTATTTATTTTTTCTAAGGTTGCAGATGAAGAGAAATTTGAAACATTTAAAACTAAATTAATTATGTTAAATACTTATTTGTCTAATGGTCTTTTAGTTTAAACAGTTCATCTTTTTTTTTTTTTTTTAATATTGTTCAGTTAATCTTTTGAAATAATGAAACTAATTCTTGTATGAATTTGGATACTTTTTTAAGATCCGTTGTATAAAATGTTAAAACTTTTTTCATTGCACATAATAAAATTAATTTTATTTATTCTTTTTTTTTCTCTCATTTATTTTAAGAGTAAATCGTAGCTGTTTATTTTAAGACCGAAATTCAGCATTTAGTGTGCCTGTATTTTTTTATTATATTTTTTTTAATCTTTTCTAATTAATGTCTGTGATACAAATTATATGCTATAAAAATGAGGAAGCAATGTTATGACATTACCTGTCAGTTTAAGAGAATATTTTATGAGACATCCTCGCCCTTACTGATTAAAATATCCCAGTTTTGTTATGTTTTCAATAAAAGAGTTATTAATGTACTAAGTGGTTTATGGATGTCATTGCTGATTTATTTATTACAGCATTAATATCCTTCATCTGAAAATATTCAGTAAGGTTTGTTTCACTTTCTCTTAAATTTGTATTTACTGGGAAAATGTATATAGGTCATTCTCAGATTACCAATATGCAGTCTCCAGTCTTCACTTGATGAAATGTTATAATATAACTATTGTGCCCAAATAGTTTCAGTGCATTTTAAAATCAGAAAAAAAATGTGGGGTTTAACAGTGCTAAGAATTATTTAAAGACTGTTAATTCTTAATTTATTAAGTATTAGTAAAGCTTTTTAAAAAATCCTGGCAGTGATCTTATGATCAATTTTTCTTATAGATAAAAAATTAATTAATTGAGATCAAGTAGTCAAATAAAATCATCGAAAGTTTAAAATTTTGTTTCAGGAACATGTTTTTAATTCTGCCGAAATCATTGCATGATTTAGAGGACAATATAAACAGTTTATAACCAAAAAAAATCTCAAACTTTTTGTTAAGCTCAAATTTTTTTTAAGTTTAACTTTGAAATAACAAGTAATCAGTGAATGACCTATATGTGCATTTGGATAAAATTTATCTTTTAAACCCTACTTATTATTTTAATATAATTGGTAGAAATGATTTTAATTTGAACTTAAGAATTTTCACGTTATATTATAGGATTACAATTTAAAATCTGAATAAAACGGTCACAGTAAAGTATTTTTTTAAATTGTGTAAAAATTGAGCTTTTTTTGTTTTTTTTCTATAACCCCATTCTTTTTTTTTTTTAATTTTACTTATTTAGTTTGTAAATATTCATTAAAATATAATATTTTTCATTTTAATTTGAGATGTTATTTTATCATATTATTTAATGTGGTCTTAAATTATTAAAATGTATTGTGCACCTATAAAAATACATTTTTAAATAATCATATTGTAATAAGAATACAACAGTACTCATTATAGCATGATTCATATTATTACTTGTTTATTACAAAAATTATAGTTGATGGTGAAGATCCAAAATATTATATATAAACATTAAAAAATTTAAATATTGAATAGAATTAGATTGAAGACTACAAATATTTTACTAGAAAAGATTAGCCAATTGTCGACTACGCTAATTAGATAATTATTACATAGTTTTATTGTTGAATTTTTAAAAATTAAAATAATAGTTTAACATAATAGTTTCTGTAGAAACATTAATAATTACCCCATATTAAGGAGGCAACAAAAATCTTTTTACTTTAAACATTTCTAGTAGTAAATTAAAATTAATAATTCTAATAGGGCCTAGGAAATTCAGATACCTATTCCTCTGGAAGTATCTGAAATGTGGCTTTAACCTATTCTCAGCACTAGCAATTGAGTAAATTCAAATGATTACTTTTTTCGTGATTTTCTTGTTATCCAATCTGACAATATTGCTTTAATTCTATTTTCTATTAAATACAGCATTGTTTGCCTTTCTAAATTCTCATTTTTCTGCGACCCAATAATTAAAACCATACAGACAAAGATAGCCTTATTTTATTTTAGCATAAATCTTGTGATAGTGCTTTTATTCGAATGTTCTCTGGAGCTTCATTACCATAACCTACTTGTCCAGTTCTCAAGATTATTTAATTTCACAAATTCATTTTGTGTCCATTCATTATTGCTTTGGATAAAATATTTTTTACTTATTATTAACTAGTTTATTTTGAATTTCATAATTAGTTGGCAAAATACAATTTGTAATTATTACTGAACAAAAAAATATAAGTTTCTGTGTTAAAACTTCATATTTGAATTGAAGATCTGTTTCTCTTTTGTTTCAGAATTTAATTTCTACTTTTCATGAAAGGGAGTCATTTTAAGATGTCTTTTCTTAGATATTTATTTTGTGAAAACTGTGATGTATTTTTTATCCGTTCCGAAAAGCTCTACTGTTTTGACAGTTATTAATTAATGTAGTTTTTCTTCTTTTTTAATGTAAAATAAAATATGAAATCTTAATTTTTGTATTTTGTTCCTATTCTTGTATGTTTCCCATATCAAGAAATCCTTGCTTGTCCCATCTTATGAGGTAAGGTGTATTAAAATACATATTAGGAAAACCCAATAAAGTTTATACCTCTTTTATAAGTATTTTATTTAAAGCCAATAATTTAAGGATAAATACAATGTATTAATAATTTTACTTAAACCGAAATGTTGGCACAAAGAAAATAAATATAATATGTTTTTATTTTTACTGCAATTCCCAACCATCTTCTGTACATTATATCAGATATATAAATGGAAATAATGAAAGGTGAAGAAATAAACAGTATATCTGGTTCACTGGTGCCTAAAGGCTGATGGTCATCAGGTTGTCTTTATCGACCAACATCAAGACCTAGATGTTTTGGCTGACTGAACTCTACTCTTCAATATCTATCAAAAGTTTGGCATATTCATCAAACTTAGGATGGGTCTTTACAGATTTTTAGTATACCTGTTCCATTCCCCAAATGGAACTGTTCCAAATTATCGATGCCGTTACTCCAGAATTCACAACCTAGGCATGGGCGATAGTAGATAGTTTTCAACTATCGATAAAAAACTATCTATAGTTCAGTAACTTACCACCACAGACTGAAGAAAGATTTATTTTCGCTCTATTCTTTGTTCAGTTACTATAAAATGCTGCATAAGCTTCAATTAATTTAATATAAAAAAGTAAAATATAACATTTAAAATTATAAATTTTATATTTCGATTTTTACATGATTGATTGAAAATCCAATTATATAGCTACAATCATATTACAAATAAAGTAAAGAAAACAAGGAAAATGAATTAAAATAAAGAAAAGTAATGTTAGTAAGAAACACTAATTACACATAGGTGTCTAAAAATGCGATTTATTTTTCTTATAAAATTGTAGTTAGTAACAAGAACTAATATATTTTTAATAATATAAATAAATTTTCAATGGATTCGTTTCTATAAGTTTTGGCTTCTTCATTGCAACATCATTTATATCTTTTGAAGCAGGATAATTAAGAAAAAATCAATTAATAATTGCAGAATTTTCTATAAATAGTTTAAAAATTATATTTTCTTCTAGAACCTGAGGCTTACAGGATGATAGTTGAGCTCAACACCATCCAAAATCCTGAGAAATTTAAACATTTTAGACCTAGAATTATTTCAGAAATAATTATTTAATGTTTTCTGCTTGGTGTGTAGTGGAACTAGGAGGAAGGCTGAAAATAATCATGAATGGCTTAGTAAGAGTTGTTAATGGAAACCCGAAACGTTCTGATGTTTCCACTACTATGCTGAGTTAGGATTGCTCATCGCCTCCTTCAGAAGACAATATTTCTTAGATTAAAACCAACCGCTTTTGGTGGAACAATCTCAAATTTTATCTATTTGTCCTGCCTCCTTTGCCATTTTCAAGAAGTCTCGATTTTCGTAAAGAATGCACAAGCGGAGGAACAGTAAGAGAATATACAATTTTTTGGGGGCATGTAGCTATTTCGCCAGGATATGAGTTTTATATCATTTTTGTTGATTTGTAATGTTACAATTTAATAATAACGAGTAATTGTTAAGAACTAATTATAGTATTAAGTACTTAGCAAAGTTCACATTGTTCATCAGTTGTTAGAATTCGACCACTGTTGTATGGACTTAATGATAATAAACTACCCAAAAGTGATCTTTTTAATGAGGTAACGTTATTAAAATATATATTGATAAGGAAAACGTTACCGAAATATTCTCATCTTCCGTAGGTTTCTAGCATTTTTAAAAAGAGCTGCTTGATCGTGTACTAACTGCTGGAACAAAATATTTGTCTTAAAAACTATGTCATTGAAGTTATAAATTACATGTTAAATTATTGCTCTCAAAAATATACCTTTAGAACTAAATTCTAAACATAGTTTCAGCTTAATACTACGTCACCTGATTATCATTTGTAACAGACTATCATTTCATTTTTTTTACCACTCCTTTAAGGCTATACAGGAGTTTTCCTCGGGTGGGGATTAATATCCCAGAGTTAAAAAGCCTCGGAACGGGAACACAAACACAATTATTTTATATCTTGTAAACTTCATTCTATCAATCATCTGGTTGCCGTGTTTTGAACACCCGTTAGCACACTCGGCTATCCCACCTCAGATTATCATTATATAAAATTAATTATTGTAACAACAAATTTGAACTAATCTTCGGAACCAAATTTTTAATATAGAATCTCTCCCCGGTTAATGCTGTTCCGCTTTACCAGTGTTAATATCTGTTCACCTTATCCTTGACACATTCCTTTACCAAATAATCTATAATCATCGTCTGTACTATGCTTACAATTCAAAAATACGCTTACAAAAATACTTCAATTCAAGTAATCCATCTCTTCCTTCTGACCTTTCCACACTTATTGTCTGTTCATTTCATGTCATTTATTTCAACACTTTTATTGTCTGTTCTACGGCTTTTTGGAATTGCATCCCACTTAAAATCCACCATGCAACATCCTTATCCACATTAAAAATCCTCTTATTCCAATTCCTCTTCACAATTCAATTCAGACGCTGAGTAATTTATTATGTAACAAGGTTTTCTTTAAGAATATGGAAAAAAATTCATTTCACTTTTCACAGAGCATTGTGAGCAGATATTGTGTTTTCAACCTTTTTTTTCCCCCCCTATTCATAAGAATCATTGAGATGCATTTCATTTTTTATTAAATTCGAACTCACTCCTCTGTGTGTGTGTAGATTATGATAATTTTCTAATTTTTAAAATACCATTATGTAAGTTATTCATTTAAAAATCTTAAGGAACATATGTAAATTATTTATTTATATACTTTGCATTTTTTTTTTTTTTATTTATTTATTTCTACAATGGTTTGCCTATAAAAATAATGGACGTTCCTTTCCAACAAGATTTTTTTCGACATTTTTTTATCATTGAAAGCTTCAACGAAAAATGAAACAATCTATTTGATTTTGAAGCTATCACAATACGAAAAAATTTTTAGACCTCCCAGAAAGTAAAGTACAAAAAAATGTCTTCCTTTTGAAAGTGGGAATCAGCTGACGAATATTATAAAAGGAAAAATATACACATTGGCTAGGCATGAAGTTTATATTATGTTGTGTTAAATTTTTTATTATTATTTACAAGAAAATAAATGAAGCAAGAAAAAAATTTTATTTTAGTTTTTCAAGAATAACCTTCATTCTTTCATAATTGGTGCCTGATAGAATTGTTTGGGACTTCAAATTTGAACTCAGTACACATGAAAAATGTCTTACTCAAGGGAGTGAAACAATTTTTTTTGCAGAACAGTGTAATCAAAGAAATTACACATGCTTTAAAATAAATTCCGGAGCTTTTCTATCCCTCCTTTTGTAATTACATAAATTAAATAATGATTCATTATTCCCCATAAAATTCTTAAATATAAGAGGAAAGTAAGAACTATGCATCAAGAATTATTGTATTTTATGATGGGTATATTAAGGATTCTTTTATCAACCATTTTTCATGATTCCTACATGCCTCTCAATCCAATACTTTTAGAGATGTATTTGTTAATTTTTGTAATGTCATTTTAATTAGGTGAAGAAGTTGGAGATAATTGTGATGTTTGTAAAAGTGTACATAAGTGTAGAGCTGCATAATTTAAGTGATTTATTCTAGGTATAGTGGATACAATTTTTATTTTCGGCTTGTAATAATTTATTTGTCAAAGTTCTGAGGTAGTCACATCTTTAGGACCTCAAACAATATTTATCTATTACTCCTTATCAGTCATTCCATCCATACCTACTTTATCCACGCTTTCATATTAATTTTAAAATTCATTTATTAGGCAACGAGCACTTCCAAACCATTCACTTTTCACCATCATATTTTTTTCTTCATTTAAAAAGGTGTTATGATAGCACACTTCTTAAGTTTTACTTCAATTAAAACAGTGTTGCACTTTATAAATTGAATTTGATAAACATCTATCTGATAATTATCTATGAAACAGGAATAAAATTGTAAAAACTGGCATGTGATGATCAGAAATTTGTAAGAAAACGAAGTGATGTTTTTTTTTTCACTAAGTTTTGAATAATAGTTATTGAATATTTATAGCAGAATTATTATTATTATTATTAATAGAGGGATATTTTTTTTTTTTAATTTTCACAAAGTTTTGAATAATTGTTATTGAATTTTATAGATTTTGTAGAATAAAATGAAGGTTAGATTAAATAGTTCAGAACATTAGCTACAATAAATAAATGCATGAGTGGAAGCTAATGGAATAGAAATAGTTCTAATAATAAATATATGACATATTTTATTTAATAAGATGTTTAATTACAAGTTTAAAAAGATGGTAAAAAAGAGTCAATAAAATACAACAATAAAAATAAAACAAATTTAAAAAAATTATTTATTCACAGCTTCAGTCAGGGCAATACTATATAATCTAAAAGAATAAATACATATATTACAAAGCTATTTTTTCATGTATTTTCGAGTTAAAAGAACTGTACATGTATACGAATGGAGAATACGTAATTAACGGAAGAGCCCAGATTTAGTATAGGGGAAATCTCAAGAATGCCTAGCATTCAAAACTATTAGACCATTTTGATCACACACAATTTGAAGCATACACTTTCCACACATTTCGTAAAACAGTGAACATGTAAAATGGAATTGCACCACACTTCAACCTAACATCTATATCACACTTAACTATAACGTTATACTGTGGTCCATTAAACAAGCATTGTGTGAAATCCAAACAGAAATGCTACCAAATATTCTCTGGGAAAATTTGAAAACATAAAAAGGTAACAGAAATATTTCTACTAGTTGGAAAACATAAATAAAAAACTATGTTGCTAATGCAAATATTATTTGAGAAACATTTTTGCTCATTTCAACATGACTAAATTTATGGTACTATCGCCTGGAATGTCATGTAGAAAAATACATGCTTGATTATATCACTTTTTTAACAGCATTAAACATTAAAGCTTTATATAATAATACAGAGGAGAAGAGGTAATTTCCAGCTCATTAAAATATCCTAGGAAATAAATTAAGTTATAAGAAACATCTGTTTAATACTACAAGTCCCTTCCTAAAATTTATGAAAAGAACTGGCATTGTAGACATTTTTTGGCATTTTCAATAGTATATTTAACATTAAACAAACCCTAAGACATTGAAACTTAATCAAACAAAACTTATGTGTGTAAGTTCTCATGAATTGAAATATAAACATTAAAAAAATTATATATTAGAACAAACTTGTTGTAACATTTATAATAGTCCTTAGATAATCATACTTTCCTAGTAATAATCAATATTTTCCTAACAATATTGAATTCCAATATACAGTGTTCAAATGGTATTTCCATCAATACCAGATAAAAAAAATTATTTTGATCTATTAAATACACTATTAAAACATTACAAATAGAACTTCCATAAATAAATCTTTTTTTATCCTGGATACTTCATTTTTGTAAGAATAAACTATGAGGGAAATAAAAAATTCTATTTAATCAAGCGGAATGGTATCAAAAGTTACTTTTAAAGAAATGAGACTTTCTTTTTGTTTAGTTTTTATAATTTTAAAAATCTATAATAAAATTTGACACATCTTAGATCATTATTATCCACTTTCCTAAATTAATAATTTAAACTCTAAATATTTACCTATAATTATTAGTAATCTGTACTGCAAAAATAAAAAAAAATTGAAAACTATAAGATTTAGCATCACGCGTCATGTTTTGACACCGATATCACCAGAAATTGTTGACATTTACTGAACAGTTCAGTGTCTAAATTTTCTGTTTATTGAATTATTTTTTCTAGGAACCTCCAAGATCGATACATAAACGCTGAAGTTTCCACAATGCTGGGACAAAAATTGAAATACTACTACTACTATCATTGAGTAATTGATATTTTTTATAAATTTTGAAAGTTTATTAGAAAACAGTAAATTTATGGAATGGCCATGTTGTACGTTAATGATGTTTCTATTTTAAATATCTAATAACATGCCAGCCGAACTGAATATAAGAATACTCAAATAATAAAATCAAGCAAAAAGTAAATTTATAAAATTGAACAGGTAAATTAATCTAATCCAGAACTGTATTACTTCTCCCACTTACTTTCAGGGATGATTGAATTCAAAGTATTTTGGAACTAACCTTCCTTATCAGGGAATAAGTATGTTCAGGCAGAAAACCAAGAATTTAACTTAACAAATCAATGAACAACAGGCCAAAGAAATTTTATAAATAGCAGACTAAACAAAGAGAGCTCAAGACAATAAACTAAAAAAGATAAATAAAATATAACTTTCTTGATAATGATTAAAGAAAATTCAAACTGAATAAAATCGAAAATTTCAAAATTAATCAATTTCGAGATTCCTAAATTTCCTGAGCCTGTGATGATTAATTCAAGCGGCCTCTATACATAAAGCATAATTACTTTAAAAATATATATATATTTAAAATGAAGACAGCAAACTATCTGGTAATACTGATTCCATTACACACTGAAGGGAAACCAAATCCAAACCCTAATGACATCTATTGGAGGAGTTGCCAAAATAAATAAATAAACGCCAAACTTTACAAGATTCAGTATAATTCATGCACTCAATTAACAAAGGAAATAAATTCAATTTGAATTTAATTATTTTAAAGTGACAAATAAAAGATTTTAAGTACTGCTGTCCCTAGTTAAGGCTTAATTGTTAATTTATTTAATTTGACTTATTCTTTATAGAAAATTTGGTTATATTAATCATTAGTTGACAATGATGTGGCCACAACTAATAATATTTGATACCCAAACCATTTCCACTTCTTTGTATTTTTAATGTAGAATTGTATAACAACCGAAAACTTGATGAAATATTTTAAAAAAACATTTATTAACCACTGTGAAATTTTTTAAGACCTATTTAACTTAGGTAAATTTCATATTATGACTTTTAACACCAGGTTCAATTAATACAAAAATAAATATACATAAGGATCACAATTTTTTATGTTATGTTCTTTGTAAGAGCAAAATACATTGGTATGACCTCCATTGAAATAAATGACATACAAATTCCAAAATGAATAAACATTTTATTAGGTTTATATTACAAACAATATACTTACAATCACATACATAAATATCACAGTATTCAAGCACATCCATTCTCAACCTCACTAAGAGCTAAAATAAATTTGTAAAAATTAAAGCTTTAATTGTGAATTTGGTTAACTGAAAATTAACATAAAATTTGCAAATTATAAACATCAATTCACTTAATTTTCTTCCTAAATAGAACATAAAATATAAATATGAAGTAAAGTATTTTTCCTTATATATGTACAATAAGTTACTTAATTTAAATATCAATAAGCTTGTAGTTATTTTAAGATCAAGCTTTAAAATATCAGTAAAACTATCATGTTTTACATCATTCTCAACATAAATGTTTAAAATAAAAATAAAATTGGGCAAATAATAGCAAAAAAGTACAGAATTGGTAGGTAGTTATTTAAATAAATTTTTAAAAAACCATTTGAACACTGTTTTAGGAAATTACCAATATTTTCCCCAACAGTCCTTAAAAACATTTGAATTAAAACAAAATATTTATTTACAAAATGACTGATTTAACGCATATATTTAAAATAGAAAAAAAAAAAATTCAATATTCAACCTGGTTAAAAAGTAATTAAATCAAAATTGTGAGAAATATAAAACTGACCACTCAAGGCTATACATTGCATTGATGGCAAAACAAGATTTTATTTGTAACCAGGATATTGAATGCAAATAAAATTATTATAGTCATTTTATGTTGATTATTTTCGACTAGCATAACCAGACAGCATCTACAATATAATTCAAAATGAACACACCCCGTAGAATATTTTCCTATGTAAGAGATTAACACACTAAATCAGTAGGCAGGTGATATTCATTAAACCGTGCCTAATTCCTCACAACTTTGATTTAAGTCTTATCCATCTTATGCCTATGTTTTATTTCACATAACTACTCAATTATCTTTACAAGGTTCAGTATACCCTTTACCACACATAACACCTTTGAAAACTACTTACGACTAAAATCGGACCAGTGTTTTTATGGTCTTAGTCAGAGATAACTGCCACCAAGGAGACTAAAATCAAAATAAGTAGATTTAAAATTGATAAAAACCATAAAAAAAGAAATTCGATGAACTAAAACCTATGAACTACCACAAAAAAACTGAGGATTGTTGGGAAAAAATACTTTGACAGCTAAATGAAAAATCCATCAACTATTTAAAATGTACAGTTGAACTCCTTCTTATTAAACTAACACATGTTAAAAATCTCTATAAATTAAATTTTAAAGGAACCTTGAATTCTTATAAGAAATAAATGCTTCCTGTATATTAAATAAAATTCAAATAAGCCATACAGAAATTCTTGCCTTTTGAAACATTAATTGCAGATGAATAATCAAATAAATAAAACAAACTCCAAAGAAGGTATTTTTAACTAACATAAACCTGATTTTTTTTTCTTAATATACTCTTATAAAACAATACATATTTCAGAGGAAATTCTTTGTAGCTTATCATGGTCATTGAAATGAATAGTTATGAGTGCGAAAATTTTCTCTTTACAACATGCATGTGTATTTGTGTAAAATATTTTTTTTTTTCTTTTCAAGGAACCTTAAAGTTCAATAAATAGAGGTTTTCATTATCTACACAATATTTTCATAACTTTCTTTAAATACATTTTACTAAATTCCATAAATATACTTATGATAGTCAAACCAGCAGATTTAAACATTGAAAATAGCTGTCGAATATATATTTCTTTGTATCATAATTAACAAAAGGTGCATTAATAGACTCCCTACTTTTTACTAGGCTTTTCCTAACAAATAAATGTGTATGTGTGTATATATATAAGTAATACATATATTTACACAAACACATAAAAATAAAATTGAATCAACTGTACATTTATCTCATATTACATTGCCATCACCCTCGCAATAATACAAAAAGTCAGATTTATGATACAATAAATACATAAATATACAATAAGACAACTAGTTGTCTTTGGCAGTAATATATTTTCTTTTAATAATCAACTAAACAGATAAAATTAAATATAATACAAATAAGTTGTAAGGGTGTTTAAAAAACCCTTATTTCATATTTGAAATCATTTTCAATAAGTTTCTAAAATATAAAAGATATGTATATAAAAAAATATAATAAAAGAATATGCAAAATTACAAAAGAAAAAAAAGGAGAAAAAGAGAACAATATATATTTAGTCTTAGCATTATGAAAAATAGTGAATCATCACATACCCTATGAATACATCTGATCAGAAGAGTTAAGAATACAGCAGAATATAGATTATCTTCCCTAACACTTTACAACTCGGAAAATATTCATTGACGCTTCCATGCTGAGCACAAAAGTTCAAAAATAAAATAAATAATATCACATTATTGTAAAGTAATAAATTATGTTAACAATCAAAACAGTTACTGAAGTACATTATATATTTAGTTATACTATATTTACTCTATGGTTAAAACAATGATTAAATAAAAATTTAAAAAAAAAAGCCTTAACCATTTATGCAGTCACACCACAAGAAATAATATATCTGTAGGGATATGTTATTCCAGATGGTTATAGTCAGTTTACTGAATAATTGTAATTGTAACTGATTATTCATTTTCCACTTTTTTCTCATCTTTCTGTGATTCATTCAAGGGAATAAAAATATACTAATTAAACATACATTTCATGTTTTCTCTAAATACAATTCTAAAACATTCAAATTATATACAACTAGGTAACACAACACAATTCTTCAAAATTAGAATCAACATATTAAAAATATTTTAGTATCAAAGGGTATTTTGTTTTTTAAATAAATAAATATACAGAACTTTTAGTATTATTGGTGTGACAATTTGTTTTAAAATTTTACTGCCTATTGAAGAAAGATCAAACATTAAGATATTAACAGCTTAAACCTTCAATTTGAACCATCACACTGCAACAGCGGTAGGCAGGGATTCGACCAAGGAGATAAAAAAATTACTAAGTTGACAAATTTAGACATGGAATTGTGTAATAACATTCAAAACCTCTAAACATCGAGTCATTAAGACAAGGAAACTTTTATCATAGATGACAATTATATACAATTTTAAAACAGCAAACAATTTTGATAAGATAATCAACGTTCTACCGCATAAGTAATTGAGATTCTATATTAGAAAAAATGTGTAACAATTAAACCAAATACTTTTGAAATAAATCTAAAATAGACTATTATACATATTTTTTTTATTTTCTTGATTCATTTTACATCTGCCATCTTAAAATTGAATGAGATAATTCTTTGGAAAAAAAGATATAATTTTAAAAGAAACAAATAATTTTTTTTCTTTTTATAAATAAAACTATCATATTTATCATCTTTAATATTAACATTAATGAGGTATAATTTTAGAAGAACATTATCGCACTTGAATCTTGTATATTTGATAATTAGTGATATATTTAATAAAACATTTTAGAATTTGTAATTAGGATGGAACATTCAAGATGCCTTTAATTTATTTTGTTATTTAATTTTTTTTTCAAGTGGAAAATTACACTAACCTAAATTTTCTTTTTCTACTATCACAAAAAAAACCAAACGGTTTTAAAGCTAAAAAATCAGCTAGTACAGTCTCGAGTTAAAATATACTACATTACCTCTTGTTGAGCAGTTACAGGGAAGTTGATAGTCCTAGTTTCATTGCCCAATATTAGACGTAATCTTTTCAAAGGTGTATGTAGAAGAGGTGGATATTTATCTATCTTAGTCTTCTTTTTCCTATGTTCTCTATCTTTTGTCTTGTGCTTCTTTTTACGGTGTGTGTCAATATCAACGCCTTCTACTCTCAATACTTCATATTGCGGCTCAAAAGAATCCTCACTCCAGTTACCAGATTCGATCACTTCATCCAACATAGGACTGCGTTTCATCCTCAAAGTCAGCTTAAGGCTCCGTTTCTCAGGCTGAGGGGGTTTTGCCCCCCTCAATGCAGGTGGCCCACCCTCACTTTCATCACTAAATTCATAAATGTCTTTAACTGAATCACAATTTTTATCACTGCTTTTGCGTCTAGTGACATGCTTTATACTAGGAGTTCGTAAAACTTTATTTTTAGATTCGTCCTTATCTTCATCAAATCTGTCACTTAAATTACGTTTACACCTATTTACACAGAACTGCTTTTCACTTTCTTCATTTTTAACAGAATCATCATCAGGCTTGTCCGATTGACTATCATAACCAGAACTCGGAGCAGTATCTTCAGGAATAACTTCTAATGTTGGATTTGGTTGAGTTGTAGCGGATTCAGTCTTTCTCTCCTCTTCTTCATTCTTTTTCTCCTCCACAGAAGGCCTGGGTTTATTCCTTAAATTTCTTCTACTACTGCTTTCTTCTCCCCGTGATGCAGTTAGATTTCCTTTCCCATCAGGAGTTTTTCTTGCAGCTTCTCCAATATCAGAAAATTGACACCCTTGAGCAATCAACATTTCTGCATCATATTTAGTCATACCTTTTTGACGAAGCTCCCGAATGCTTAATGGAGTCACTACAACCCCATTAGATTTATTTTCTGGAGGAGGAGGAGGTTCTGGTTTAGGAGGAGTGGGCGAAACATGATTGTTTTGTCTATGGGTTTTGGTTCTATTGATTCTGTTGTCTGTTTCTCTTAGGCGGTATCCTGAATTTGTAAGCTCTTCATTACTACCAGATCGGTCCTTTGCAAATGCTCCAGTCCCTCGCCTGAAATAATAATCTATGTCAATTTCTAAAGAAGAAAAAAATAAAGAAGAAAATTGTTCATGAAATCCTTGACAACAAATTATCATAAAATATATTGATTATAATCTATGATATAATATATACACAGAGTAATGTCTTCATTGAAATCTATTTTCCAAGAATAAATGCATTATGAATAACAATGGATAGGTTTTTTTCCCTTAGATATGTTTTGATAAATTTCAAGATACTAATTACTGGGATTCCGATTTATATGTATTTACATTTTTTTGTCTAAGCCTAATAAAACATTCTTTGGATTTTCAAAACAGGTTTAATATAATTTAAGAAAAACTTAAGCATCTTTTATTAAACGTACTCGTATATATCAGAAAGGTATGTACATACCTACATATCATCATCCATATTTAGTAAACAAAGAAAATTCCTATTTTAAAAAACAAAAATCAAATAGTGGTTTTTCATATTGAAAGTGTCAACATTCACAACATGTGAGTGTAAATTTGATATCAGAAAGGGCAGAGAAAAATTAAAATATTGCTAATACATCGCAATTTATGGACCAGAAAATTTAGTTGCAACTATTGAAATGATAAGGATATTTTGTATCAACGATAGAAGTTACAAAGAAATTTCATATACTGACATCCACCAAAAAAAAACCTAAGCTACGTCTCCATTTATTCACATTTTAAATAAATTACCATTCATACTCTATTTTACATTAATTTATCAAAAAATAAATTAATACATACATATTTCAAGTGTTATATTGCATATTATTTCGGCCCCTTAAAATTGCTATGTAATTTCTAATATTGGCTTATATGTGTGACTTTTTAAAGTTTAGGCCTTCATCAGGGCTAAGAAAATATTTCTTTTTTTCTCAGCCCTGATGAAGGCCTGAACTTCGGGCCAAAATGTTGGGAAAAATGAAAATAAATATAATTATTTATTTTTACAAATTTTTTTTAATGATCACCCCAACCTTTCTTCTCTTCAATTATTCACTACAGTTAACCATCAATCCACAATTATAAACTTCTTTTAAATAACAATAGGAATGGAGTAATATTCTGACAACATATTTAATTTATAATGTCAAATATGATAAATTATGGCATAAAAAAGTGACCATGTTATTATTTCATAAGTGTGCAACAATTGTATAAAATAATTAAAACTACTTCAATAAGAAAAGAAATAAAATTTAGACAAATAAAAAATGTAGTAACCTTTCACATGTTTCACATTCACAGTACATGTTTCCATCTCCGAAGAAATCCTCGCCATAAAAACAAGTTATTTCTTCACCAACTTCTATATCTCGCAATACCTTAACGCAAGCTGTATCCCTACCCGTAGCAACAAACTACAACAAAAACTTAGTAAGAAGAAATGTTTAATAAACATAACACTCAATAATAAAGATTTAACCAAAAGTACAAATGAATAAATAAATAAGCTGATTAAATTAATTTCTCCATTCAACAAAAATTAAATATTATAAGAATAATTGGTCGGGAGGAGGAAAGAGGGGTAAAGTCAACAATTACACACCATCATCATATTTGTTTTCAACCTATGTTGGTCTTCATCAGGGAATGGAGCCTTTCTATAAACAAATATAATACCATAATAGAGTATGATTGTTGATCGTACCCCTCTCATCCCAAAACAACTATTCTGACTATGCTGAATTTCTAACAATTACAAGTCATAATCATTAATAAATAAAATATTTTAATTTTTAAGTCTAGGTATTTCAAATTAATGTATTGCAAATAAGTGCTTATTGGTCCGTAGTCCAGACCGAAATATTGCCAGTTAACTGAAAGTGTACTGGAAAAAAAAAAACTATGACTTGGCCATTTGAACCAAAACTGGAAAAAAATAAGAACATGATAACATTTTAAATAACATAGTGCTAAGGCTTTCTTTTTTCCTTTTACCATCAACCGGGCTTCTTAGAATGAGATGGTTGAGATTTGATCAGAGTTTTTGTATTTATTGTATCTTAACTAGTTGTCAACATAACTGTTTATTAACTTAAAAATGTAAAGAGTCTAGCATTGTGATGGATTTTGCAAAAAAAAAAAGTTATCCCCCAGAGACTCCAATAAGTCCTATGCTAAGGTAAATTAGAATATAATTCCAAAATTAATCTATAGTTCATATAAATATCAAACTCTTTAATGTCTTTTTACTGATGTTAATAACAGACAGGAACAAAAATATGAGGAGTTGGTAAAATAAATACGTGGCATGTGGAACTGCAGGAGGTAGTTGATAAGACTTCAGTTGAGTCTATCTACTACCTCCTGCAGTGCCACATGCCCCGTATTTATTTGACCGCACCCTACGACCAACTTCTTCTCATATTATTTCTTGGTCAACCATTTCTACATCATTATGAATTCATTACCACAGGGTCAACAACAAGATACAAACCCACAATCCAGTCTATCTCAACTGCCTCCTGCAGTGCCACATGCCACGTATTTATTTGACCGCACCCCACGACCAACTCCTTCTCATATTATATCACAGTCAACCATCTCTACATCATTAGGAACAAAAATAAACAAGAATGGATTAACCACTCCTAAGTAAACTTACTTTGCAATTAGCCCGGCAGTCATGGTTTATAAAAGCAGCTGGACCCAGCCACAGCTGGGCACAGTTCTTTCTGCAAGAGAACATGACACTAAAGTCATTTTTACCCGGCCTCAGTAGCTGATTTTCTTCTTCTTCAGTCAGCTCAGCGATACATCCAACCAGGCAAGAGATCTTCTCATTTTTTAACCTGTTAATCAAACCAATTGTTTATTTATTTATTTTTTAAGTAAATGTGCATACACAGAGAAAAGTACAACTGTGTCACCATTTTTTAGTTGCAGATATCTTTGCTCCTTTCTGTCCTTCAAGAGAATAACGATAACATGGCTCAATTATAAAACCAGAATCTTTATCAAAAACTCTTAAATAGCGATAAATCTGTAAATAAAAAATAGATTAGCTCTGAATTAAATGATAATAATTTCTTTCAACACCTGTATAAACAAATTTACATGTTGCTCAAGTCGTTGTTGTTGGAGTTTGCTTCTAACATGACAAGAACGAGGAAGCCAATCTCCATTTAACAACTTTTTATAAGTCACTTCATAATTTTGTTCCCGTTTGAACTCCTCTATGATCTGCTTCAACTCATCTTTATTTGCTTTAATGGGCCTTATTGGTCTATACCTTTAATATTTAATTGTTATAATTATAATAAATATGGAGGAACAATTTAATGTACTTAAAATACTTATATTACGTTCTTAAAATTACCTAACATTCATCTTATGGGTGACAAATCCCAAGTATGGATCCAGAACAATCGATGTAGCGATGTCATCATTCTCAGATAACTCTCGCGGACTCATACCAGCCGTTGTGTGTATCTTTAATTGTCCTGAAGCCACTACCATCCTAGAAAAAACAAATTATATTTTAAGACTAAATTAAAGTCTTACTATTGAAATAAAAACTACAAAACTAAGAATAATGTAGAATAGTATAGAATAATAGCAATTAATAGAAATAATATTAAAAGACTGGGAAAGAATTCGAGTCCTTGTGTGTTAAAAAAATAAAATAAATCACCAAATCTGGTCATCTTTTACACAGACTATTGGTGCTTTGCATTTAAGCAAGTAATTTAAAAATATATAAAAAAGGAAGAAAAAAAAAATGGCGAATAACAGTCAATATTATATATTTAAAAAATAATGGAACTAAACAATATATATTAAAGAAATTAAACATAAATTAAATCTATTTCCTTTATTAAAATAATAATGGTAAGAGAAAAAACCTTAAAAGATTAAAAAAAATGTTTAAAAACTACAGCTATAATTATAATACAGATGAAAAAACCCATATATCCTGGTATATATCCTTAATGAATTATAAATAATTATAATTTAATACAGAGTACTGATACAACAAGGAGAAGTATCAGAAAACTTTGAAGTTCAAAAAGGTTTGAGGCAGGGAGAAAAACTCTAGCTGATGCTGATCAATTAGGCATGGAGAAGGTAATCAGAACAACCTCGGCTCCACAATAACCTCAATAAATGATCAATTAACAGAGATAGACCAGCGTATAACAAGTGCAAATAGAGCATCCTTTTATCATTCGAGGGTCCTGAAATCCAGAAATCTCAAATTAAGGATCTACAACACCACGATGAGCCAGTTTTGTTGTATGGCTGCGAAAACATGTGCTCTAACTGGCACCCTAAAAAGCAGAATTGAGAGATCTGAAAGAAAACTCCTCCAAATGATAACTGGAGCTATCTTGGATCATAACCTTAACACTTCAAGAAGGAACAAGAAAAAGTACATAAAGAAACTGGTCAGGAGCATATGAAATGAAGGCATGGAGGTTAAGATGGGCAGTGCAGATTGCTCGAAGCAATCCATCAGGTCACGTCAATACAACATTGAATGTCAAAGTAGTATGCACCAGACCATGTAGGAGACCAAGGGTCAGATTGTGAGAAATAATCAACTATGATGCTGCAGAACTTCACAATGCAAACTGGAGAACAATAGACCAAAATAGGCAAAAGTGGAAAAGTCTAGTTCAGACAGCCAAAGATCTACAAGGTCTGTAGAGCCAACCCAAAAAAAAAATTACAAGGAGGGCACATCATTTTTACTAAATTGTTTACTGTTTGATATATTTAATAATAATAAAAAAAAAAGATGTTTTATTATATGCTAAAGATGTTATATTTGCATTACATTCCATTGGTCAATGTTTCATAATTTTAAGAAAATAACTGTAATGCTATCTGAAACAATCAAATAGGGGAGGAGCATATGATCACTTAACTAATGATTAGATATATTAAATGCAAAATTACCAACTTGGTAGCTAATTTTCTTGAAAGATAAAAAACGTCTATTGATGATCATTGTACCACCATCAGCCTTGGTCCTCTATGCTGGGAGAACAATTATACTAAAAATCACCTAGTATGCTACACACACCTTCATACTGTACAGAGAAGGGTCACTAACAAACAGTATACACCCTAGGGCTACTTTCCCTAAGTAGCCGTCCCAGAGGGAAGAGCAGGTCAAGAAGCTCAAAGGGGCAACGTATCCCCCATCTGACTTGAGAACAGAGTTTGGGCTGATAACTCACTCTGCTTAAAACCCTACTATTATGAAACCTGCAATAAGGATAATCGGACAGATTTTCGGATAATCAGAACCAATTAGCTCCAGGATCTGTTAACTCCGAATAAAATAAACAATTTCACAATTATAGTATGATTAGTGTACATAGCCTGATTGAACCGTCAGATGATGAATTAAGATGCCTTTTTTAGTAGTCTCGAGCAACACTTCATTCCTGCCCAAGAGCTGATGCTAAGATTATCCTGAGAGACTATATGTGCAGGTAGGAAAGGAGAAAGAATACTTGACCACAATTGGTCTAGGTAGCATCCATGATTACACAAATGATAATGGGATGAGGATGATAAGTTTTGCTGCTTCGAAGGGACTTGTAGTCGGCAGCATTATGCTTCCCCACAAAAGAATGTAACCAAATAGACCATGTGTTAATAAGTAGCCATAACATCACTAGTTTGATGGATGTGACAGTTTTCAGAAACAGCAACATTGATTCTGATCACTATCTTACAATCGCCAGGTTCAGGGCAAGGATTTCTGACATCAGAAATCAATAGAGCACAATTACCAAATATCAACACTGGAAAGCTGAAGGATCTCAAAGTTAGGCAACTCTTTACTGACAGCATGAATATCAGAATTAAATATATATATGTTTACAGACGGCTGATATCATGAATCAACAGAAGCAAAAATGCAAAGAAAATAAGGAAGAACTGGCAGTTGGTATGCTTGGACAACAAAAGCCAAATAAGAAGGCCTTTCATTTGACGAAGAATATTAAAGAGTGACCAGCCAGAAGAACCTTGCTTACAAAACAATGTTACACCTGAGCCATACAAGATCAATGGAGGCCATTCCATGGAGGAATACAGATCCAGAATAAGGGAAGTGAAATACACCTACCAGAGGAAAAAAAGGCATGGCAGCGAGAATGCCTCCAGCAAATGGAAGACCTCCGGAACAGTAATGAGGTGAGAAAATTCTTCCAAGAAATAGCTGGCAGATATTCAAACCTAGAATGAATGTCTGTAGAGACAATTAGGTTAATCTCATCACAAATAGGATACATGTTTTGGAACAGTGGATTCATTACTTTGATGTCCTCCTTAATGACATGGCAGAAGAAGGAAGAGAGGAAACAGAGATGGCCCCAAGGAAATTGGAGCCCCTTGATATGGAAGACTTCTATGAAGAAATGGAAGGGTTATAAATTAAAGAAGTACCAAGATCAAATGAACTCTCAGCAGAACTGTTTTTAAGTACAGAGAAGAGTTTGTGAAATTCCTTTATAATATAATAATGGATGTCTGGATAATGGAAGAAATCTCTTGTGAATGGTACAAAGCAATTATATGCCTGATTCACAAGCAGGGAGGTATGCTTGATTAGCATAATTATCGCAGTATATCTCTCTTATCATGTGCTTATAAGGTGTTCTCTTGAATACTTTATAAAAAACTGCTTCCTCTTGTTGAGTAGAATACAGGAAAGTACCAGACAGGCTTTATGAGAGGAAAGTCTGCCATAGATCGGATATTACCCATCAGAAGCATTCTGCAGAGGTGCAGGGAGTATAATATCCATATATACCACCTGTTCTGACTTTCAAATGACCTATGATAGTATAAAAAAACAAGCTGTACCAGAAGTTTCTAGAAATGGGAATACCAGCGAAGCTGATAAGTCTGATTAGGGCTATGATGAAGGTGTAATGCAAGGTGGCTGTTCATATTGATCTGACTGATAGCTTTGAAACCCACTAATGGCTGACTCAGGGTGATAGCCTGGCAGGCCTGCTCTTCAATTTGGGCCTCAAAAGTGTGGTACAGAAATCTGGAATGCAAGTGGGGGGAATTATATTCAATATATCTTCTATGGTTTTAGCCTACACCAATGACTTAGATATTGTTGGAAGAACACTTACAGATTTAGAAAACGCTTTTATCAGTCGCCAGACAGGAGCAGCTAGAATGGGTTTACAGATTATTGAATCAAAAACCAAATACATGGAGGCCCACAATTGGATGTTCACAAACCATCACATTTTATGACTAGAAACTTTTCATTTGAAAGGGTAAAAGAGTTTGTCTATCATGGTTCACAAGTAAACACAAATAATGACACAAAGGCAGAAATCCATCACAGAATCATGTCCTAAAATAAATGCTATTTCGGATTACTGAAACATTTTAGGAGCAGGGCTATCTCTCAAAACACAAAGGTGCAATTGTACAAGATTCTGGTAAGACCAATTCTAGCTTATGCCGAATGCTGGACATAAGCCAGTTTACAGAAAGCCCTAAGCCCTTCTCCTGAGGTTTAAGAGAAGCATATTGAGGAGAAGTTATGACCCAGTTTGCGCCAATGGGATCTGAAAGATAACGACAAACGTTGACCTAACAAGACTCTACAGGAGCTCAGATATCGTAAGGGTGATTAAAGTAGGCTGGCTTCGATGGGTAGGTCATTTAATTAGTACGACCCAGGAGGATCAGATTCCTTTGATGGTCCTAGATGAAAGGATTTATGGGAAAAGAAGAGTGGGATGACCTTGGCTTCGATGGACTAATGGAGTGGGAACGGATGCCAGGTCGATCTTGAGAATCTGCAATTGGAGCGCACTGACAACCAATAGAGAAGACTGGCAAACCAAGCTGCTGGAGGGCTTGACTTTACAGGAGTTGTGGCGCCACAGATGATGATAATGTTGAAAGAAAAAAAATGGGGAGAAATAATGATGAAGATTGACTGGAAAATATTTTTAAAATGCTATAATAGTACTAAATAACTTTTTTTTTTAAATGAGATTATATTTTCAATTAGTTATTTGATATTTTATTTAAAAAATTGTTGAACGGCAAAGCCCTGTCATACAGTTAACAGCAGCCTGAGCGGCAGGGAAAATGTTTTACATGACACATGGAGTACATGATACCCGCAGGCATGCTGTTGTGGACCCTGGCCAATGTTGAGGCTAGGCTAAATATCTTTTAGCATCAGGCTAATTGGCAAGTGCTATTATTACCCTTCTAGGTCGGAATGAATAAAATATAACTACAACACTAACTGCCATTTCATTACCAAGAATTCTGAGAAAAATTTATTTTTCAAAAATCAATAATTACATTAATATTATTGATAATACTAAATAACTGAAGTCATAAATCCATTAGGACAAACGAAGACTTAACCATTATCTTACTATTATTGTTATCCATCCCTATACAAGATTTTAACAAACACTTATCTTAACTTTAAGCCTAAAGGAGATGAAATTC